AAAATACTTGCTTTGCATATGTAGTTCAAAAAGTCAGTGTGCTTTAATGCTTTTGGAAAATGTTCACAAAGGACCGTGGTCTGACTCTGCTGTTCCAGCTGCTGTGTTGTGTGTTGTAGTCAATACATAAGACTTTACGTTAAAAAGCATGCTGTAAAACTGATGTGTTTTCTGTTCTCCACTTTAAACCTTTAAGAATGCAGACTTCAGTCAACCTGTGTAAAGGAGCATGTGTATTATTATCTTCTAGCTAAATAACTACTTTTTAAAAAACTAGAAGTGATCTTTGTAGACCCTACCCATTATGGGTTTGAATTAGGGTTATTGTTTACGAGATTTTTTTCATTAAAAAGCTCTACATTAATTCACCGGCTGTTTTCAATTTAGTGCAAAATTGTCACAAGGCATTTTGCAGAGTGTCAGAAGGTGATCTCAGGCTTGCTGTGTAACATTTGGATTGAAGTAGTTGCCTATCTGCTTTGAACTGACAAGTGTATTTTCCTAAAAGATGTATAATTTCCAGTGCATTGCTGCTCATTCTCAGCAAAGACAGTCTTAATACAAACAACTTTAAATTCTGTTCACTCAAACATTTTACCTTCTATTGATTGAATAGTGCATATATTGAATACTAATAAAACCAAGTAATATCTCAATGAAAATGTGTACCAATTATTCATTAGAGCTTGCAGAGAAAGCCTTGTTTGAATGTCATGAAGGTCAGATGTGGATATTTATTGCCTCTTGTAGGAACAGAGTTTAGCCAATTACTGGGAGTGGCATGGAATAAAGACCTTTGAAAGAAGGCAAAAAAGACAGTTATTTGGGAGAAGCTTGAGTGGACCAATGGGTGGGAGGTGATGTTGCCTTTGTTTAACTATCTCGATTTCAAGTGTAATTGTTCACAAGTAGATAGAGACTGACCGACATACTGGTACATGCATGAATCTCTAATTATGTCAGTCCTTGTTAATTTTTCTGTTTTAATATAAATAAGATAAACTTTATAAAACACTTAGCAATAGTCTTATCTGACTGGATCAGTCATTCCTAGACTTACAAATGGAAAAAATTATTTGAAAAACAAGTATCGCTTCTGTGTGTTGGATGTAAGAAATTAAATACTTACTTTAATTGCTGGAATGCAAATCATATTTTATTAGACATGGAACAATTAAGGTGTTGCTGTTAATCCTTAATTATATCTTTTTAACTTGCCATGTGGTTTTGATTTTTATTAGATTTCTGAGGGATTTTTTTAGTCCTAAGAGTGAGTCATCGGGCTGGTCTGAGCTACTTCATAATATACATAATAGAGGGCAGTGCAGTGATGATTTGTTACTGCCAAGCAATAGGTTAGTTACCAGTTCCTGTGTTAATTGAATTAAGCACAGGAAAAACATATTTCCCCTTCTTTTTAATGGAATAATTCTAATAGCATTTGCATCGTGTTTCAACAGTTACATGACTTGAGTCAGGTTTTACTCCCATTTACAGATCTGCTGGAGAAAGTGGGAGGGAAGTAAGGCAGAACAGTTCTGACTTGCTCCAGATAATCTCATCCTAGAGCTAGGAGTATTCCTGTGTTCTAGGTGGGATTTAAGTTTGAGGATAAATGACATTTCAGAGCTCCTGTTTTTTGAAGACAAAGATCATAGTAGGTCTTATCAGATAAATAAATGGAAAAAGCATTTTTTTTCAACCTTTTCAAAACTAAGGCCTGCTACTGCAGATGCATATCTCCATATACCTTGGAATTGAAGCATTTGCATTTTATCAGTATAAGTGCAAAGATTTAAACAACAGAAGAAGTATTTAAGTGATCGGGATGTCATTACTGAGTTTTTACCATGGCAAAAAAATATGAAGGTGTTGCTTTGGTGTTGGAGATTTCATTGTAAATGCTTGTCAAGACTTGTACTAGGAAACTTAATTTATATAAATTAGTGTTCCTTACTGAGATCAAGTGCACTCATTAAGATCATCTGTGTGTACTTACACCAGATGTAATCATTCAGCATATATCCAGTTCTAAAATTGTGTGCTCTTAGATAACATGCAGTGCTTCAATACAGAAAATAAAGTGTTGTGGTTATTGTGTCTGCAGCGTTGAAGCTGATGTCACTTAGGAATTGATGCAGACCAGTCCTTCACACATAGTAATGACACACAACTAACAGTCATTGCAGGGTTTTTTGCTGAGAACATGGCCTGAAAACAACAGTTTGTTTTTGTTCATATGCTTAGTTGTTTGCTTGCTTGCTTTCAACAGAAATTAATGCATGCCAAAATATTACGGAAGAGAAAGTGCTTATACTGTATAAACAAAAGTCCTGCCTTACATGTTTAATTAATTGATTAGGCACACTTGTTAAGTGAAGGTTGTGAGACTACTGAATTGCATAACAAAAACTGAGCACTGCTGTTCTTTTGCTCAGCTAGTGTTATTATAGAGATATTTTCAGTTTGTTTTGAATGTTGCCACAAGTCTCACAATTGATAAATTTTTGGTGTGATTTAATAACTTCCTACACAATCTGAAATGTTCAGTTAACTACTACTCAAAGACCTGGTTGAGTACCTGAAATGTTAAATACTTGTTTATGCTATCATGTTGACTGTTATTTAGGATTACAACAAATTGAGGGGTTGAAAAATGTGTCCTTTAGGTATTTAAATGCCTCCTTAGGCTAGCTTAGAAAAAAAAATAAAATAAATAAAATATGAGGGAAAAAAAGATTAGAATTACATAGGTAATTCTGAAACTGGAATTACCTGTGCTTTGGTTCTTAAACATAGAAATGTTCCGTTTCACAGTAGTGAGACCTTGAAAACTGAATATGTTTTTATTATTAGGGACTTATCTATGTATTTTTTTGTCTCCGAGTCACACATGTACCGTTCTGTATTGTGTGCAGAAAAGTTGAGACAAAATAGAATCTTTGCGGGTTTGACATCAATTCATGGAAACAACTTGAGAAAACTTGCCCATATCATCTTTGGGGCTGTGATGCTTCCTTTGTGTGGAGTAAAATGAATACAAGAAGATTATGTGCCTTGTACTAATATTCAGGAAGTGATTACTCAGTATGTGGAGGGGATAAACTGAGTGAGGCTTCGATTAAAATTGCTTTCAAGGAGTAGGTACAGGAGTTAAGTTTTAGATTTGAAATGTGAGAGCTAATACACGTGAAATTACATTGGGTGGTCAGCCACGAATGTAGGCTTAAGATATGTACTTTGCCTTCTATTGCTTAATGCAGCTTTTTAAAAGAAGTGGCTTTGGTGGTTGGGGAGCTAATTATACCCACTTTGTCAGAACATTTCTTTTACTTATTGACTAATTTTATATGTATATATATTTAGGAGAACACGCTCCTTGCATGGACCATGCCCGGTGACCACATTTGGACCAAAGGCCTGTATGCTGCAAAATCCTAAAACGATTATGTAAGTACTTGTTAAATGAATGGTATTATGCTTATTCTGTGTAAAAGAAGCAAGTTTGCTTTTCCACTCTTCACCCCCTAATCAGCATTGTTTGTATTTTACCTGATAGTTAGAGATTTTCATCTTGCTTGGTTGCCAGCTTGGGGTCTGCATTGCCAAAATTGACCTACCATTTGTATCACACACTGACCATTTAAAAAGTCAGTCTGAGAGGAGAATGGACAGCACTGCTGAACTGTGTTCTCAAGTAAAACTCCATTAGATGTGCATTAGTTTGATTTGCACGTTGAAAAGTATAATACAGGTTTGAACCTCACTGTTGTTTTTTCTCCCAAGGGATGATAGGACATAATCGGTATTTCTCTGTATGGATTTACAGTGGTTTTGCTGGTTGGATTACTTCCTGCAGGGTAACAGACATAAAAGGAAATTAATTTCACTGATTTTACATTACTAATTCATGTGGAGTTCTTAGACCCATTATCTGCTACTGAAACCAATGGGAGTTTTTTCACAGCTCAGTATATCTATTTTGGAAAAAAAAATAAACAACCATTTCACATAAAAATATGACAGGGCATGCGAATAGTATTGCGTGCTGAAGTTTTGTTTAGACATGTTTTGCATAATCTGCAATCCATAGTTTGGTGTCAACAATGGCAACTATAATAGATGCTTTGCGACATAATTGACAGTAAACTCGCCATGTGTATTGAACACCCTTACAGCAATCTAATTGTGGAGAAGCAATTGGCAGCATTTTGTTTATTCCATCAACTTGAAATATGTAAAGAATGGTGTTTCTGAATGATAAAGGAACAGACATTTTTATGGACAGCACAAGGAAAGGAGGAGAAATCGTTCTGTGTGCTGTGAAATCCGAGGAAAGCCTTCTCCCTCTCTTGGTATTGTGTGTTTGAGCTTGAATTTTTTTATTTGATCTATGGCACTTTCAGTGTGTGAATATCATTAAGGCAACTTTACTTTCAGACTCTGCTGATAAATTTAATGTGAAAATAATGGTTGGTTTCTGCTTAGCAGACATATAAACATTTTAATTTTGTAGGCTGGGTGCTATACAAGTGTTTTTTATACCATGTGTTACATAATAAATGGTGTCTTGACTTGGTCAAGCAAGAAGTGTCAAGGTTCTGCAGATTAACCAAGTTAGTGATCCCTATTTTTGTCCCTTTAAAAAGTTTTATTTCATTGTTCTTTCAGTTAAATGTAAGGTATTTGAATTGTTTATTTTAGTATACCTTTATGTAAGTAGTAGTAGTCTTCCTCGGAACAGGTTGGTGGTATGCCAGCTTTTCCTACAAAGGTGTGGGGGAAATCTTGCAGTGTACTTACAGTAACTCGTAGCTTCCTCCTCCTCCTTCTGTCTGTTGTAAAGCCGGTGGCCGGGTGCGCTGCCGTCCATCTGCAAGCCCAGCTTGTGCTGTGCCTTCACCCACCGGGCTGTGGTCACTGTGCTCCGCCCCAGGGGCTGGGCCAGCGACCGACGATGTAGTGGTAGTGGCCAGATCTGTTGAGTACAGAGGCTGCGGGTGATACTACACGCGTGCTGCTTGCCAGGGCAAAGGCAGCTCATGCAGTGTTCAGTGTAGCTGGGGAGAGAAGGGTGCACTCAGGCAACTGAAGCAAAGGACCATCTGAAGACCAAATTGTAAATTACTTTTCTTACTAAACATAAAATTTTTGATGTGGCTTCTGAAATCAAGCAAAAACTTTTTGTTTGGATTCTTCTCTACAGTCAGCAATATTGTTAAACTTTCTTCACTGAAGATAATTTTTTTACAGAAAATTTTAGTTTTTATGTACAGGCATAAGTTAGTGTAGCTCTTGGTGTCTCTAAGTGCTAGTGTTGATGATAGTATTGAAAAACCTGCTTCTGAAGACTGTTATGTAAGATGACCAGATGAATGAAATGACTCCTGAGTGAAAAGAGAATCAGGTGCTTGTGTTGTTAAGAGGAGAGCTCAAATACCTGTTTTTAAACTCTTTCCTGAAATGGGATTTTTCTTATGAAATCTTGCCTCTGAAGATCTGTAATAAGCGTGTTATACAGGATTTTTCTGTAAACTCACAACTTTTTGTTGGGATTGATTGAAGTACTTAACTGAGGAAAAAAAATTTCGGAGGAAAATGTTTTCTGTTGAGATAGCAGTTTATTAATAAGTGATAAAAGCTGCAGCCTTTTTTTTTTTTTTCGGAGCTGTTGCATCTGCCTGACTCCTGAAAAGAAACATGAAGATCTTAAAGCATGTTATGAATAATCTTTCATTTAGTAGAACTACCTGGAATTGGTGAGTACAGCAGAAATAGGCAGACTGTATTTTGTTTAAATGAAGTTTGTATTATTTTCAAGTTGAAGTGAAAAGCAGTGCTGCAATCCTTAGTTCTTTGCCAGCTTTCATCTTAAAATGGTTTTGGGTAGTGGTTTCTCCAGGTGTATTTTTTACCTTTTAACACTGTTGAGATCTGAGGAATTTAATTTTATGAAATTAACTTCAGTATAGAAAACTCTTCCTTAGTCATCATTTGTGTTGGAAATAACATAATAAAACTTCAGCTTCAGTTCCTCTGCATCTGTTTGGCAGCAAGAAGCACATTAATGCAACTCTTCCGACTTTATTTTACTTTAATTTTCAGTTTAGCTATTGGTTGGTGAGTCAAGTCAGAGGAAACCTTCCAAATTCATAGTCAACTCATATTCTTGGCAGTATTTGAGACTGAGTATGGTCTCTTCAAAATCCCGTTACATCAAGCCAGGGGATTGTACTAGACTATCTCCAGAGGTGCCTTCCAACCTCCACTTTGCTGTTATTCCCTGACAGTGAAATACAACGAGATGAAGCACAGCATAACATTGAGAGCCTGTGTGTGATACTGAGTGCAACTGCATGTTTGTACTCTCCTGTGCTAGGTAATAATATTTAGAGGCAATGTTGTTTGTTAATAAAGTTAATTGGTATTAGATTACTTCAGTAAGCTACAGTTTCTGCTGTATTTGTATGTAGAATATAGGCATTTTGGAGAGGAAAACAAGCAGGTTATTCCACTTCCAGCATTGTCATCTATTTTATTTTAACTCTTGAAGTGCTAAATCCAAATCTTATTGTAAATTTGGCTTGTTCAGCATTTATACTAATCTGCTTTGCTTTATGGATTATACCTGCATCCTGTGGAAAAGGATGGGATGCTTGTAATATGCAAAATGCAACACTGAAATTATGTAGTTCAGAAGTAGATATAAGTGAAGAAGGAAAATATGGGCATTCCTAAATCAGCTACATGTATTATAGAGCAATATGAAGGTTCTGTTACTGAACTCTCTTGAAAGCCACAAAATTATTTGTGTACATATATTTAGTTCTTGAGGTTCTCAAGTCTTAGAATGCTATCCTGACAATAGGCAGACAGTAGTTTTAAAATACTTTGTAAAGTTAATATATATATGTTTTATTATTTTATTTTTAATTTTAAATAGTAGTTGTGCTCCTTTAAGCAGATAAACTTGATTTGCGATCAACACTAAAATAAAATTAATATATAGATTATAGTTTTGAAGACATTTGGCAGAAAAGTTACATATGCTTACATATCTGCAGTGTTTGCCTGGAATAGAAGTATACAGGCATCTGTTCCTGTTGAAGCCCTTTATTTTATGAGGCTTTATGATAGAAGAGTAAGAGCTGCAAATGCAGACTTCCCAGAATAGAGTTTATGTGCTATAGTTTTTTCATAGCTGTTAAGGCTTATCTTGAGGATTTAGTATAGATAACCACACGAATCTTAATTATTTGCCCTTCTCTTGGGGTAGTGCTGTTTAGTATAAGTAAAAAAGACTAGAATTTGTGTCTGCATCTACAGGCTTCACACCATGTTGGGAAAACCGACTGGATACTGGTATCAGTGAAAAAGCGCTGAAGGAAACATTGTTAAAAAAGAATATTTGAGTTGCAACTGTTGCACTGTTTTTTAAATTTACATCGACTTAAGCTGTTTGAGGTAGAGTATTGGATCTGAAAAAAGTTTATGCTGTAGCTTTTTCTGATTCTCTAATTGGATGGTTTTCCTTACTTTGAGTCAGCTTAAGAGGAGAAAGCACCAAGATAAGAGCACTAAGCATTACAGCTGGAAGCATCAGGGAAGATACCAGTTCAAGAACTTGACCCAAGAACTTTTGTAGTGCTTCTGTTAAAGTCCCAGTTTCCGTGTGTTAGTAGCGTGGTAGCAGCTACAGTATTGGACACTTGAACACTCTGTTACCGTCTTAATATAGTAAAGCATTGATTGTTTTTACTGGGGAAAAAGCATCCTTACGACACCAACTATGGTATCCTTCTTTCTGTTGTTCTAGGACTGCATGCAATTATAGTTAATTAAAGATATATTCTTAACATACCAGAATGTTGTCAAAGCAAAATATAGTAACGTTGTCTTTTTTTTTTTTTTTTTTTTTTTCTATTCTCTAGGCACATTCAGGATCCAGCAAGCCAGCGGTTGACGTGGAACAAACCTCCCAAGAGTGTCCTTGTTATTAAAAAGATACGTGATGCCAGTCTCCTGCAGCCTTTTAAAGAGCTTTGTGTGTATCTTACTGAGGTAATGAAATGTAAATTCCATTTTTTACCACAATTAAAAATTTTACATCTAAACTGTTTTCAGTTACTAATTCTGTTGAATGTGGAATGTGCAGAATCAATTGTGCAAACAAATCATTTTACCCATTGCCACTGGAAGTAGTAAAACTTGTTTCAGAGCTCAAGATCAGTACTTAAGTACTTTAAGTACAGAGTTTAAAAGAAAAAAATGAAGTCAAAACTTTCTTTCATTCTGTTTGCAATTCTAAGTTACAGAAAATGAGATGTAAAAAGCTTTAAGCCTTAAACAGCAGTGTTACTGTATCATGTAATCCATATTCCAAAGTTTAGTTTAATTTATCATATGATCTGTGCATGTTGCAAAATTCTCATTAAAACTAGACCACACATTAAAAATAAACCCCACAACCGACAGATGCAGACTACTTTTGTAAAATATTATTTATGTGATTTAAACTAGTGCAAATTATGGGGAGAGAGTTAAATATTTTGTCATTTGAAGAGGTTATTAACAACCCTATCTTACATCTCTTAAGGAAAACAATATGATAGTGTATGTAGAAAAAAAAGTATTGGAAGACCCCGCAATAGCTAATGATGATAATTTTGGACCAGTGAAGAAGAAATTTTGCACCTTCAGAGAAGGTATGGTAATGATTTCCTGGAAGTGAAGTTGAAGTATATTGCTTATTTGTCTTGGTGTTTCCTTAATTGTTGGGTCAAGTTTGTAAAACTATTGTGTCTTTTGCAAACAGCTGTTGATACATCTTAGTTGTGGTTTTTTATATTTGTGAGTCAATGTTGGCATGCTGCACTTAGTTGTTGTTAGGAAATTAAGACTGTTGATACAACTGAATTAAAACCTTTTGGTTCAATGTTGCTTCTAGATTATGATGATATCTCCAATCAGATAGACTTTATCATATGCCTGGGAGGAGATGGGACCTTACTTTATGCTTCTTCGCTTTTCCAGGTTGGTCTTTATGGGAAATAGACTTAATGAGCCATTTTCTTTTTGAAGTATTTGAAGGTGGTTGTTTGTTTTTTATTTTCTTCCCCTATGTTATTGAGGACAGCATTTGTCCTTTGTTTATTCCGTTCTTTTTTTTTTTCTAATAAAGCCTGGTTTACCCTATACTTTCTGAAAATAATGTGTGTAATGTGTTGTTTTTATTATGCACAGTTGAAGTTACATCAATAGTCAAAATATTTACAGGCAATTAGTTGAAGTGTGAATTGCTTTTATTCAGTAGCTTTTAAATTCTTTTCTTTATTGATAGGGTAGTGTACCTCCAGTTATGGCTTTTCATCTGGGATCCCTTGGATTTCTTACTCCATTTAATTTTGAGAATTTTCAGTCCCAAGTCACTCAGGTTATAGAAGGTAAATTTAAGGGGACAAGGTGTGGTGTTTCTTTTTGTTACATTTTCTGTAGCTTTTTCAGAGATCAGTAAATTTTCTTAACCAACTCATTTAGGTTGTCCCATAAAATTGAGTCACAAAAATGTATGCTAAACTTAACAAAAGTATTGATCCATTCAGTGATGCTTTCCGTACTATTCTGTAAAGAAAAATGGCTAAGAAATAACTTTGTCCTGTGTGGAGTAAACAAGAGATGATGCAGAATTTATTTTAAATGACAGATAAACATATAAATAAGAGTGTAGCTCTGAAGTCTGTGGTAGTCTGTTTCTCTAAGTAGTGCAGTGCTTAAATACTGAGAAGTCAGACAACCAAAATATGGGAGGAAAGAAATACTTTGTTTTCTCAGTATGAGGTATTTTAAGTTGCATCCAAAGTAAATTCCTGAAAAGATGTATGAAATTCTCATGTTGCTAGAATGTTGTCTTTTAATAGGTGTTTCTAATGCACTGATTTTTTTAAGTTTAGCTTTTGTCTTAGTGAAGATCACATGAGCCTAATAGGTTTTTCTAATCTTTATCTTGTCCATATAAAACTTAAATTTTCTTTCTACATCGTAAGGAAAGAGAGGAAGGACTGGATTCAATTTCTGTTTTAATTTTGCTCATTACTACTAAAAATGAGTTTTGAGCTTTAACCAAATGTAGACAATTATCTTGTGAATGATATTGGAAACATTGAAAGCATGGGCAATAGGTGGATGGCATTTCATACAGTTTGCTAGTCATTACAGGGTTTTGTTTAATATACTAACATATCATTTTTGTGTACTTTCTCCTGTATTTCACTTCTAGGCAATGCAGCGCTTGTTCTCCGAAGCAGGCTGAAGGTGAAAGTAGTAAAAGAGCACAGAGAGAAAATGACAGTACAGAATGGTATAGAAGAAAATGGAGTAGTGTCTACAAATACAGAGAAAGAAGTGGGCAAGCAAATTATGCAATATCAGGTCAGAGGGCAAAATAGGCAAAAGAACTGATATGCTGTTTGTAGATTGCTTTGGTCTTGTTTTATGGCAACTTCCCCCTTTTCATTAGTTTACTTACCTTACTCTGGTAGTGTGAGACAGATCCATATTGCTCTAATTCACAATATGTGCACTAAATAATGAGGAAGTGGTATACCTCATACTTTTTGCAATCATAAGTGCTAATACTGTATTGTAGTAATATTTTCATTCTATTTTGAAAACAAAGTAGTAGTTCTGAAATGGGATATACTGAAGATTTTTATAAGTGAAAACAGAAACCCTGCACATAGTTAGTAACCAGCTTCTGGAAATAATTCTTAACATCTAAAAACTTTGGTTGGGACTTGATAAGACAGAAGTTTAAAAAGAGTCTAATTTGGCAGGTACTATATCAGCACAAATTTTTCAAAGACCTGGAAAGCATGTTTTGGCTTGTCATTTATTACATTGCCAAGTCAGCACTGGCAGACTGGTGTAACATTTGATATCATGGCAGGTCCTAAATGAAGTTGTAGTGGATCGTGGTCCTTCTTCTTACCTTTCCAATGTAGATGTCTTTCTAGATGGACACCTGATAACAACAGTGCAAGGAGATGGTGAGTCTGCCTCTTGAGTTAAATTGCTTGCCAGTTCATGTGTAGACTGTTGCTATTTTACTGGAGGATTTTCTCACGTGGAAAAAAAAATCTCAAGCTTCAGTTCACTGGTGACAGAAAACTTTAGTGTGCAAAGAATAGGTACGTTTATTCATTGGTAACTGATGTGTTCCACAATAAAGCATTAAAGTGTTGTAAGCTTTGTTTATGGACTTGTGAAGGCAAGTGGCAGTTTCTTTGGGTATGATACGTTAGGGCTAAGGGCAAGAAACAGCTGAGAAAAAATTTGCTTGCATATCTGGAATTTGCTGAAGGCCTAAGATCTTGACTCCTGAAATAATGAAATATAGAAATTAATCTTTAAAGCTCTTACCCTAAAAAAAAAGAAAAAAAAAGTCACTGTTAGAAGGTTGTGTGACCCAAGATCTAGAAGTTTATGCAACTTACATGAAGCCATAGAACAAACATGATGTGCCGGGATTAGAAGACAGTTTCTGACTTCTTGTGTATTAGCCTGCAGTTCTCATATGAAATACAAGTTGATACATTCTCTGCTTCTTTTTCATAACAGTGCTATTTCTTAGTCGTCTTCCAAAATAACACATTGATTGTAATGCTTATGTAAGTGAAATTTTTGCTCCTTTCACAGGAGTCATTGTCTCCACGCCAACTGGTAGCACTGCATATGCAGCTGCAGCAGGAGCTTCTATGATTCATCCAAATGTTCCTGCAATAATGATCACCCCAATCTGCCCTCACTCATTGTCTTTCAGACCTATTGTTGTTCCTGCTGGAGTAGAACTCAAGGTTAGCTTCTGTTAAATTATTTCTCTTTCTAAGTTAAAAGCTTTTGTAATAACTATGTGAACCTGACAAAGCAAAAGAGGTTAGGAAATACTGTGTCTATCCTGGATTCTTTCATTTGTAGCAGGACCAGATCAAGTCTGGTTGAAGAATGCAACTTTGTTCAATATACCCACCAGTGGAATACTTTACACTGCTTCCTACTGGATTGCAGTTGTGTAACATTCTGCAAAATGGAAATGCATACATTTGCATTCTGACTAATAAAGTAAAAGAGGAGATTGATTGCATGTAAAAAAATATATGTATACGTACCAAACATGAAGTAAAGGTTTGGAATTTGGGTGCTATGTTACTGCACTGTTATTATGGACAGATTATGAATTTGAGTGCAACTGTAAAGTTGTGAAAAGTCAGTTCTGTACTTAGAGGGAGGATGGAGGAGGTGTTTGTTCTTTGCTCTTGAAAAATAGGTTTTGGACCTGAAGTTTAGTTCTTTTATTTTTTTCAGATTATGCTTTCCCCAGATGCCAGGAATACAGCATGGGTTTCATTTGATGGAAGGAAGAGACAGGAAATATGCCATGGAGACAGGTCAAGCCTTTATAAGTATAGAAAAATACTGATTCGTGCACTTTTCTCATTCTCTAACATCTGTCAGAAGGGTTGCTGGCAGTGAAGAAAAAAGCTTGTATAAATGCTAGCACCTCTTACAGCACAAACTGTGCTAAAAGTATTTAATTTCTAACTTGAGTTTTTTAGATCTTATGAAAGCAAGTGAAATGTTAAGACAAAGCATGTGAACGTTGCATGCTTGTTAAGGAAGATGGACCTATCTTTAGAAAATTCTGTAAATTTAACTTAAAGATAAGTCTTGGGAGTTTGAGAAGGTGTAAACCAACAGGAGTTGCATGTAAGCAGTGCCTCTGAATAAAGCCATATAGCTTAAATTGTGTTAACTTAGTGAATGGTTGTGGTCACCTGCGATGCTGTTGCCTTGAGTGAGCAGAATGCAGTCAGTGTGTGAAGCTTGCTCAGGTTTGACGTGTAAAATGTGGTGGCTTATCCTAATGGGAGGTGATTTTTGAGGCAGCTGTGTGGTATGTGACTGGTAGACTTGCTATTCAAGATGACTTCTTTTTTTTATTTGGTCCCTACAAGTTGCCAGGAAGGAAAATGTATATCTGGCATGACACGCCATCTTGACCTGTTTGTATTTCCTCTGAGATTGAAAGATCTATAGAATAGATCAGGAGATTAGTAAGGATTCAAACATGAGCTTTGTCCCTTTGTTAGGTGCTAGACTCCTTAGTGCTGTTGCTTGTAGTTGAAACTTAAAGGCCAAGGTGGTGACCTACACTTTGCTTTGTCCCTGTGTTGTTGATGTGAAGACCAGCAAAAGACTGCAGGATGTCATAGAGTGGGTTCAGTATTCTCACTGTGTCAAAGAATGCTGTCCACAGTGCATCTGTTAAGTTTTAAGCCCTGTGTTCACTCTGTTTAGATGAGCCTGCAGGCTTGGTTATTGCTCGATTATGGAAAACTCACTGTTTTACCAAATTGGCTGGATATAGCACCATGTTAGCTAGTGACTAGAAGATAATTTAAAAAAAAAAATTGCTATTCATTGCCCTTGACTGACTGGGGTATTCCTGTGTTGTTGCAGTATTAGCATCACTACCTCTTGCTATCCCCTTCCTTCGATCTGTTTCCGAGATCCTGTGAGCGACTGGTTTGAAAGCTTGGCTGAGTGTTTACACTGGAATGTTCGGAAGAAGCAAAATAACTTTGCTGTTGAAGAAGAAGAATTTTGAGTGTCTACATCTAACAGGACTCATGGGAATGGGAAGTGGCAGTATCCCTTCTATATGCTTGGATATATAAGTTTCTGGGTAACAAGTGTGGTCACCATCTCAGATATATATATATATATATATATATATATATATATATATATATATATATATATATAGTGATTATAGTTTATATCTGTCTGATCTGCTGATGGTGGGAAATTATTGTGCTATTTCTTGTCCACCAAGAGTAGGAATGGAAGAAATTAGGCTCTGATTGTTGTAATCGTGAATTTCCTTCAAATGAGCAATCTGAAAATTGATTATTTTTGATTGGTATTGACAACTGCCTCTGTAGATTTTATTGTAACCTATAACTTACCAATAACACGGTAAGCTGAATGTAGATATATAATAGAAAAATGGCATTAATATATTTTGTTTAATTTTGTAAATTTGTAATTCCATATAAGACTGCTATGCATATGAAGGCTCTAAGAAATTTTCTTAAAAAAAAAAAGCTCCTCTCTATTAGCTTAAATACGTCTTGCCCAGAACAGCTCCCCATCAAGGCAGTGCTTAAAATACTTTCTCCTTACTTTTGAATGTGACACACTGTGAAGAAATGCCCATGAAGAATGGTTTTTTTATTAATAGATGGAACTAGTAAAAAGAAGTGTGTGTGTATATATATCTATATATCTATATATATCTATATATATCTATTTTATGCCCATTTGAACAGTGTTTGACTCTTGGCTGTCATCACTGTGTAAATATCCACAAATAGCATGGATGAGCATTAGCATCAACTTAGCTGGTTATTACAGTGATTGCCATTTTTGTAGCTGAGCTAGTTTATAGCTCTGCAGTTCCTATTGGTGGGAATCACCAATGTGTTGGTTTTTCTTACTATTTTTGTTTGATTATCTGGAGTAAATGGTAGCATTAGAGACTATAAAGTAAAACAAAAAATTCTTCAGTTGTTCAAGAAGAATCTGGACCTCAATTACTACTATATTTTCTAGTTCCACTAATGTCTTGAAGAAAAGAATCTCCTATACTGGGCCCTGAATGCCCTCAACTTCCATAGATACCTTCCAATCTTGGTGCTGAGTAATACAGGAAGGGGTACTGCATTTGTAGGCTGATAAGTGAGAGGACACATTCCCAGTAGAGTAGCAATGGTGCCTTCAGCACACTCAAGATATTCTAAGTCTTGTATTTACTTTTTTAAGATGCTTTCAAATGTTTCTAACTTCTCTATGTACATATTTTATTGTGTGTGCTTTTATGAAAGAAAAAGAAAAAAACAACAAAAAAATTAGTTGGGAAAAAAGGGTTTGTACTGTGCTTTAACTGACAAACCCAAGTATAATGTTTACATTTATGTTCTCTGTGGTGCAGTCTCATGATCATACTATCCAAACTTTAGCATTTTCAAAGTCTTGCTGCATTGCTCATTAAAGGAATGGACATTATCTGTTAAAATTAAGCCTATGGCATAATATTGTGGATGAATTAATTTACTGATTAAGGTGGGATTTCCTTGAAAGTGGAGTGAGAACCTCTGTTGAACTTTTCATGATTGTCTTATGTTGTTTATGTGGTCCAAAGTGGTAATGGGAAATGTATTAATTTCCGAACTCTGCCTAACCTGCTGTCCTCTGATTTAAATAACGTCTTTTCCATTTTGGATGCTGCCCTAGTCTGTCTAATTTTATTAAATCCAGGTGAGAGCACTTTTTCATAAAAGAGAAGCAAACTCTTGATTAATGATAAAAATCATAATGAAAATGTGTTAATATAAATTGTTTGTAAATTTTGTAAAATAGAATATGGGTTTGATTTGGTCTAAATAGATGACTTGTGGTACCTTGGAGAATATCCAGATAGCTTTTGGGATTTATCTTTCACTTGAATCTGCAGTAATTGTTTTATCACTGTTTTAAAGCTGCTTACGGGTTTCTTAGGTGGAGTATTCAGTTATTTAATAACTGTTTACTTTTTGAACTATAGAAGTGTCAGACTTTTTGCTTTGAAACTATTTTATTTAAACATGCAATAATTGAGAAAAGGAACAGGGTATATTGGCTATATAAATGTATTGTTAAGTGGGAAACAAGCAGAATACTAGGCATGCTAGGAAGTGGAAATCATTTTGCGACGGTGTGGTGAAATGATTAATGAGCCTTATCTAGTAATTTTTTTTAAAGATAAAACTATATTCAGCACTTTTTATTTATGCTTTTTATAGTAGTAAAGCTATTGTTGACTAAATTGCCGAACTTCAATTTTCACAGTGCATAGTTCATGAAGTCTGTACTCAAAATTTACTTAACTACTTTCTCTAGATTAGATCTAGATTAGGAGTTGTTTTATAATTTATCACGTACTGCAATTACATTACTGGCTTTGAGGCTTCTGCAGTTTTGCTTGTACAACTAATCCCACTTGATAACAATCTTATTTGGATCACTGGTCAGCCAAGTAGAGTGCTGTGGTCACTGACTAAAGGAAAGAAAGTCACATGATGACTTTAGTCTTTGCTTTTTCTTCAAAAAGCTGCGTTGATAATTGTACTAGCTGCTTTATATCAAAACACAACCCAAATTGTGTTAATACATTACAAATTTATCTTAACTGTACAAAGTCCCTTTTCAAGGCCTTTAATCCATAAACCAGCAATCCACAAGCAGGCTGGTGAGGTTTAAACAGCACTCAAGTTTTGTGTATTTAACTGCTTAAAGTGTGGGTAACTTCTGTTCAAACCACAGCTAACCAGAAAAAAGCTGTCATGCAGACTTGGTTATATTGGCAATAAAAGCTCATTTTGCTGATGTAGCTTACTCAAGGTAACTTGTTTAAACTATACAATAGGTTTTTGCTGATTAAGGGCAGTGTTTCTAATATAAGGGTTTGTAAATGTCACTACCTGCAAATCCTTTCCAGTCTACAAAGGGCCAAAATGGAAGCTTGAAAATTAATTTTTTTTTTTTTTAAAAGTTATTCTCTAGTAGAGAGTTTAAGAAGTTACTAACAACTGATGTAGTATGGAATAAAGCAGTGTACTGAATTTTTAAAAGAGGAAAAATCCTGTTACATATTGTTAATGCTTTGAAAACTTGTTTTAAATATTGTTGAAAAATATTTTTCAATTCTTTCAATAAAATCTTTTTGTAAAGTTGGATTTGTAAAGCAGCACTTTGACTGTTGAGAATATAAAATTAGGTATACACAATTACTTGTTTGGAAGGCAAAAGTCCAGTGTGGGTTTTTGATACATTGCCTCATGGGACAGTAGCATGTTTTCTAGAAATACACCTAAGGCTTTTTTGAATGTGTATGTCAATACCAGTCTTTTCTCAAAAATTTCAAAATAAAAGCTGGATTTGCTGTGCGAGTTCAAAGAAATCTTTGGTACAACTAGTTAGGCCACATTAACTACGTTTTTGAAGGCCCAATAGTAGAAAAATGAGGAAAAAAGAAATACATAAGGGCAGTAATCTGAGGAAATCTCAGATAGTTTGGATACCTAGTAAATTTAAAACTGAAAATGTAGTTTAAACGCCCATTCTATCCTTGCCTTTGCATGTTGTGACCAAGTTCTTAATCTGTACCCTATTCCAGCAGTTCCTGCAGGTCAAATGATTGAGAAAAGTGAAGTAGTACCTTATGTAGATAATACAGCTGCTTTTAGACGGAGTTCATTTGCTTTACAAGGTACCTTAGAAAGAATTTTCCATCTTCTCAGGCCTGGCTAGTGCTGTCCACGGCCAAACCAGTAACCCACCATTTCTGTGCCAGTGGCACACTTGCCTCTGCAGAAAGAAGGGAAATAGCACTGCCAACGACTGGACCCTCATTTTACAGATGGCTCTTTTGGGGTAGTCTGTATGCAATTTGCTAGTCCTGTCTTGCCAGAGTGAAAGCTTCCTACTGTTTTCAGTTTAAACGGCCCAGTTCTGGCATTGAGAGCTGTAATCACCACAGTTTGTTGAACCAGCAAAAAGTACTCTCCTCCCCCACAGAGTCTTTCACAGTGGAGATATCAGAGATTTTGGCACAAAATCAGTTCAGCTGCACTGATTTGAAAAATGTCTGCATTGATTTATCCTGGGTTTTTAACAGTTAGCAGAATTTAAAGTATCTCAAAATAGGAAGATTTGCCTATAAACCTGCGTGAAGCTTGAGGCCATCTTTTGCTAGTTTTACCCTGCCCTGTGTCACACGATAAGATGAAATGGGTGTTGGTGCAAACACATAGTTTAATCTAGATCGTTCACATAGGCATAGCGTGGCAGTATGGATTACAGCCTTCTCAGGAAGTACTGAAAAATCTCATGCTGGATGTGAAGGTCAGCACAGCTTGTATCTGTTGCTGCTGTTCCCTGAAATACTAAATATAATCTGGGTTTCCCTTTTTTGTGCAGCAGTCCTACTTCTTGCTGACAGTGTCATGCTCCTTGTGCAACTGCAAGATCAGTTACTGCTTTACTAATGAAAGGAGTGGTAGAGAAGCATATAGCATTTACAGCAGTGGTAACAGTGGTATTAGGATTTGTTTCATAAAAACATGATTATATTCTAAAGACAATTTGAACTAGCCATACCAATTAATGACTTGCTACTGTGGGGCGTGGGGTTACAAGGCCTAAATGTTCTTCCTTACTTTGTCAAATTGTCTTTCTGTGCTGTGTTCTTTTAACTTTTCTGGAATCCAGATTAGTATCAGCTGTTGCGCATGTGCACAGCAGCTTGAAGCTTTTCTAAGGGAAGTTATGAGCACAAAGGGGGAATAAGAGTTTGGTCTCATGTATTGTTCTCAAACAGAAAAGCAGGAAACTATACCCAGAGAAATGTAATTAAAGCTACCAATACTTTGTAGTGATGGGAAAATAGCAAGCTGATTCATTTTTTTAGTTATGCACAATGAAAAACTAAACACAAGGGCTTGACCAAAGTACAGGTAGAAGGTGATTGTGCAAAATTGAAGCATAGGAGTGGTTTGAACTTTTTCTTCCTGTTGGGTGGACTTATTTTACTGCATATGAAAAGTAGCCCTTCTACATACTGTTTTTGAGAGATTTCTCATATAGCATGGAAAAGAAGGGGAGATGTTTGTGTATTTATCAGGTATTATGTAAAGAATTTGTGAAAATTACCTAAAACTGAAATCCCCTTTTGCGTACCGTTTTGGGTAAAATTTGCTAAATGCTTTTGACAGGGGAAGTTATTGATAACATGTAAAGCAGCAGCTTCCATCTGTTTGGTATAGTGTAATTTGTTCCCATCATTTTCCTCTTTTATTGGTGAATGCCAATAAAAAATGTGATGAATGATTTTGAATTTATCCAAAGTTAACTTTGGATTTAGCTGGATTGATCTCCTGCTTTAATAATAGAAAAAGTGAAGTTGTTTGTCTGAACCAGTGTTGGTTTAGTGATGTCTACATCCAGGATTTGAGTGGCTGGGCAAAAAATGAAGTGCTTCAGTTTAGAGTAGGCCAAAGATACTGTCTGTGTATCAGGACAGGATTGTGTATTGGGAAACTTTCACAGATTCAGCCTAGTAGCTCTTATCTACACAAGTAGTAACTTCAAGAGCTTGTGAAAAAGAACAGGCAGATTTCAACAGGAACTGAACAAGACCTTATGCAGGAATAAGAACACTTTTATGTGAATCTATGAAGGTTAATTCTCCAAGGCATAATAATACATTTCTGCTTTTGGAGAGATAAATGTTTGAATGTAATCACAACTTTTTTTCCTTTTTTCCTTCTAATGTTTCTGCCATCTCCGTGCCATGAAGATACAAGGAGCATAGCACAAGCCTACTTTCTTCCGCTAATTTTGATCAAGTACAGGCCTACTGCAAGATCGAAGTCTTCCCTTAATGGACTTGCTCTAAGCAAGACCTGCTGCATGTTTGCTGGTTTTAGAAAAGGATTGAATATGCTTAATTGTGTTCCTCCATTTCAGCAACAATTCATAGTCACATTTTGACTTGTGCAGTGAAGTTACAGTCATCAGCTGGTACTCTCGTGCTTTCTCTTGAACTTGTCAGCTTTATGCAGCCTGGCCATAGACATTTAACCTCTTCATATGTCCACTGTGCTATCTATAAAGTACGTTTGTTTCAGGTTTAGAAGACTAGGATGAGAAAAATACTTTTTTTTATGGTAGTTTTGAGATCATTGTAAGTTTCCCTACTAAACTGCAATAAACTATTTGAATTACTTTTTGCAGTGTACAGATACCTGCAAGTTAAAGATGTATCTGAAGAGGAATGTGTGATGGCAATGTTCCCAGCACAGGAGAGTTGCAGTGCCAGCTTCTTCCATGCTCAGTTTGTAAACAGGCTTTCCATTGAACTCATGCTGTTGATAGGAGAAATAATGATCTATGCACAAATGGTGTTTATACTTTATTAAAAAATACAGCCAGTAGTTAAAGATTCCAATCAATAAAATACCAAACTTGTAAGTTACAATATTAAAGTCTTACTTTAAGTCACCCTGGTGTATGAAATGGCACATGGGTTAGATACACTAGAGGAAGGCATGAGATTATATGGCGTGGTTTTCATGTGTAGCTGGGATTTAAAATAAATGAATAATAACAAAAATGGAAATAATCTGAAGTCAGAGGAGGAACAAGAGCCCTTGCCATTCTGTTGGGGTTAAGCTATCACACAGCCATAGCAGAGCTTAGGGAACATAGCTGTCATCAAAACAACTTCGGGCTTAACCTCTGTTCAGCAACAGATCTGAGTTGAGAAATGATGGTAGGGCAATCCACTTCTAGACTCAAGTATACAAGATGGGTGTGCAAGTTATTATGTTTGTGTATATCTAGCAAAACAGCATTTATATTAACAACATTCTTTATTCACATGCATGTTGTGAACCTCCTGTGGTTAGAAAGCAACATAAGGAAAACAAGGAGTGAAAGATGCATTGTCCTGTCAGCAAAACTCACTGTATTGAGAGGCTCACTGCTAATTTCCCGAGTGCACTTTTCTTTTTAAACTAAATTACCGGCTGCGCTGTTATAGTTCCCTAGCACAATATGAACCAAAAAACATACAGACTTTATTCTGAGCAGCCTTCTCAACCTTGGGGAAACTGCCCTGTTATCTGACATCCTGAATGCAAGTACTTCTGATCAGAACTTCCCCGGCTACGATTTTACTCTGTAAGAGCTGCAGGTAGAACCCAAGGGGGATGCTCAGGAGTCGATCCTTCCATAGGAAGAAAACACTGTGGGAAGAAAGGAAGATCAGTCAACACCAATGCCTGGCAGCATTTGTGTCCTTAGTGTAAAAGGTGGTTTGTGTAGTTTAAGCTTAGTGGTTCTCTAGGTCCCTTCATTCTGTCTCTCTTAGTTATTGTAAGGCTGTTATACAGCATAATAAAGAAGAGAAATTACATATATCTTGTGCAGAGGAGGTTCTTCCACACAGGTCTGTTTTTCTGGATAGCGGCAATTCTTGCACATGTTGGAAGCATTTTTGACTAATGTTAGTTTTTCTTGGGGAGAAATCGCCTGTGTTTCATCCAAGCTTCTGAACCTTGTCAGGCCAGTAAATTCTGAGGCTGCAGTAGTGCTTGATGTCATTAGGGATCTGCCTTTTATTGTGACTATCCTTAACTATTTTCCTGACTCAACAAGCTCTCTACTTAATTTTGACTGTGATACAAGAGACTAAAACCTTCAGAGTTAAGTTAACCTTTTTAAGTACTTACTTCTTTCTCTCAGCCCCTGCCCAAAGCTGCGGTAAACATGAATCAGTGCCCAAAACAATACGGATTTTATGGTAACAGAAATGCAAGAGCCGGTAATGAAAGCAGCTTCCAGAGTGTAAGAATTCCCTTTGCCCCACTCCCTTATCACCTGCAGGAAAATGAAGACATAACAACAATGAACACCTAGTGCCACAAAACCCTGAAGCCGCAAAATGCAATCAACCACTAAACTTCTGAAAGCAGTCACTAGATAGTAACTGAGGGGGAAAAAAACCTGGTCACTTCTAAACTGTCTTACTTTCCTGATTACACAATTCTCTGGCTGCACACTGTAGCTAAATGCATTAAACCCTCTGATCTCTGCATCGCTGAAGTCATATGAAAACAGTATTGTGCCCAGATTGAAAAAACAATTAAGGTGGAGATAAGGAAACCTGACTTCATCTTACATCTCAGTTTCTTTCCACTGTAAAATACAGAATGAAGTTATGTTCTCTGGCTTATTGTCACGTATGTCTGGGGGCTGGCTTCATGATCCTGTTTTCATTCATGGCTAGCCTGATTACTGTGCTTATGACATTAGTAATTGCCTAACCTGTGTTTTCTTGTGGGGTCTGACACAGAGAAAATGGCAAGTTTTAGTTGAAAGCAACAATATTTTTATCCTGTAGCTATCTACTGCATTGAAGAAGCATCACTGCTCCCATGAACAAAGTATGATCAGGCATGCTAATACTAAGATGAGAGACCTCTGCAAAAATCCAGTACTGAAGCAAGGATAGTAACATCTTGCAGTACTCTTCCCCCTTCCTGCAGGTTTGAGTCGCTGCCCCAGCAGGCCTAGTGATTATCAGGATGAGATTTCAAAAAGCACAGTTCTGATTACTTTGATTTGTTAACAAACCCGATGGTGTGTATCCCAAACCAAGGCAGGTTATGGATGTCCTGGCCAATTTTGGTGCAGTCAGTTTGTCTATTATGTTCTATCAGTTTGCCTGTTTACACTGCAGAGGGTTATTAAGCAGCTGCTACATAGAGTCAATCTAGCAGCTTTTTCAGAGCTGAAGTAATTAATGGTAAGTGCAGTTTGCTTTTTCTCTTTTTTTTTTTTTTTTTTTGCCTTTCAGGTAGACAAATAAAAAATTCTTACAAGAATTGGTTTGGAGAAGTGACTATATTACAGATTTCTCTAGCACAATGGAGTATTGCACTGCATGTCCATGCCCTCAAATGATGGTCACTCTTGCATGTTCATTGTTACTGTGTAAAAATGAAAGGAGGCCCAGCTATTTTCAAGTTATGTTACTCTTATGTCAAAAGCTACTGTGTGCACTTTTTTTCCTAACTGCAATACAAGTAAAGCATAACCACCAAAGACAGCGTTTGGTCCTTCTCTGCTTTGCCAGATCAAACAGGCCTGTGAATAATTGGAAGAGCCTGATTTGACTGCACACTTTAATAACTAGAACCCCGAGGACTTGGATGGCTGCAGCCACTGGACTTTTACAGTATCTTGAGGCTGTTTATGTGAAGTATGAGAAACACTGGCTGCTCTCAGCATTCGAGCCCTTTCTGTGATGAACCATCTGCCCTTCTTTTTCCGTTACCTCCTTTCACACGTGTTGTGGGAGGTGCTGGGGTGCCCCAGTGAGAAGTGCTTTATCACTATTATAGTGCCAAAAAAATGCCTAACACTGCAGTTTGTTGGGCTTGTCCTGTCTCTTGTTTTGGCTGCATTAGGATCAACAGATGGGGGTGCTGCCTAAGAAATTTTTTAAGATTTAATGACTTGAGACCCTGCAGATGGTCAAATGCTCTGGCACCACTTGAGACTTCTTGTAAAGAAGGAGGAGGCATTTTTGAGGAACTGTGTATTTTGTACTGGAAGATTTTGCTGCACCTTTCCCTAATCATTCTGGAGACTTTGCCAGTTGCAGAGACTTCCAGGGCCTCTCCCTCTAACTAATCAGTTCAAAAGCAACCGGACATGGTTCCTGTCTTGAAAAGTTGATCCTGAAGAGGTAGGACGTGCTTACTGCTCTCATTGACTCTAACAGCAGCTGCAATGAAGGGGTATGCTAGGAATGAGGCACCGTGTTTTGGGCCCAAGGATCCAGTAATGAAGAGGAGGCCTCCAGCCCTGCTCCCCTGTTACTGAGCAAGTAAGTTTGATGAATTACCGTGTAAAGCAGGTAGATGAGATAAACCACTTCGGGTATGTTCTGACTCAGAAAAATCCACACTAGAGGTTTCAGTTCTTTTAAAATCTGTAAAATAAAATGAGATATATATATATGTATTCAGCTTTATAACTCATTGCTATATACTCTATAAAGGCTATATATAGTGTTTTTTCAGTAGCATTTCAAGTGTTGGTGTAGCTGAATTCTCAGTTGTAACTTTGCTTTCCACTTGCTTTCTATGTTTTTTTGGCAGAAAATACAGTCTCTGTTTTCCACAGAGCTGGGCCAGGAGTAAAGCTGGTGAAATCAGAACAGGTTGTTTCACAGGCACATCTTGACAGCTGTGTGTGATTTGAGCCATGTCAGCATCCTCTTGAGCATTGCCTTCTCATACTCACACTACAACTCCCAGCTAGCTTAAATGGAGAAGCAGCTGGCTCTTCTGAGCTTTATCTAAGCTGATGTACTTTTTCTCTGGGTACGCTCAGATTTTTCTGTAACAAATTGATGTTTTCATAGCTAACAGACTGAAGCGCTCTGTGACTTTTTTCTCCACCTTTGTTTCTACTACAGAGAAGTAAAATCACTGAGAACTAAAACGTGGGAGAAGCAAGAGGATTTAACTGTTAGAAAAACTTTGTTTCACAATTAACCTTGGGACTTGGGAAAGAAGAAACGATGGACTGCTTTGCAGCAGGTAGCAACTTTCAGCAGTCCTGAACTGGAAGGGCAGGTCTGAACAAACGGAAGAAAAGCAGCTGAGTCACTGGGAGTGAAAGCAGTGATTGTGCCAGTGCTATGATAAGATTTGATGCATCTGATCAGCCACAGATTCCCCCCAACCCAATACTGATCCTTCTGCAAGGGTCAATAAATGAACCTCTACAAAAGCATTAAGGGAATTGTCCCTCCCCTAAGGCAGTTTGTCTATTCTCTGCCACCCCTACTATTGTCTCTCTTCTGTGGTAGTGCCTAGTGCTCCTCTTAGGATAAGACCAAAGGGGAAAGGAAAACAAAGGCTGAGAAGCAAGAGGAGGGGGAAAGAGAGAATTAGTAATTAATGGGAGAAAAGAGAGAAAATAAATAATGGAGATAGGAAAAAGAAATCCACTAAAGTAAACGGGAGAGCATGTATAGAAATAGAAGAAAAAGAACAAATAATCCCCTTGTGAAATGGCATGTGCATCAAACCAGAAATAGGGAGTATGAGGGTATGAGGTTTAGCTGTGCTTTCAGGCACTGTGGTTGCAAAAAAAGGACTGCTTATGAGGCGCTTCCAAGTTTTCCCTTGTCTTATGCTTACACTTTCTGGTGGATTATGTATGTCTCCATACCTTTCTTACATAACAATCTCATAGCAGGTGCAGTTTCTGAGCACACCAAACAAGGCAGTGATACATGTTTCTCTACTGCTGCATTATCTGCAAGAGGCTGATTGTGAAAAACTTGTCTGAACAGAGTAAGGAAAAGGAGTTGCTATTGCCACCCCTCTGTCAAACTGTTTACATGCTCTAGCCTAAGACAGAATTGGTTTTACCTTGGATGCAAAGCTACCAGGCTCTCATTAAATGTATCCACCTTTTCTAAGTTGCTGTTGCCCTGCAGTGCTGCACTTACTGAAATACAGCACTAAATTTATTTAATTAATTTTATATAATGTCCTGGGTGAGTGAGTGGTGGAGTTTTTTGGTGGCAGGGGAGGGGGCTATCAGGGCGTCCCCCTGTGAGAAGCTTCTCGAAGCTCCCCCAGCTCCAAGCCAGCTCCACGCCAGCTCCACTTCTGTTTGGAAAATTGAGCCAATTGGCTGCGCCTCTGCGATAACGTATTTAAGAAGGGACGTGGTGACGGGCAGTGGGACTTGTGAGGAGGAGTTGCTGCAGCTGCATGAACACCAAGGTCAGTGGAGGAATGGAGGAAGAAAGGAGGGGGGAGGTGTGCCGGAGCAGAGACCCCCCTGTATCCTGTGGTGAGACGGCAGGGCGGCCCCCCCCGCCACCCATGAAGATCTACGGTGGAGCAGACATTGATTTATGGCCTGTGGCTTCTGCTTGCCTGGTCAAGGTTCTGTGCCCGAAGAAGGCCGGGGTCTCATGGGAAAAGGTAGCCCCGCTGCTGTAATTCAGCGCTGGGAGGATTGCAGCATGCGGGGGAGTCCCACGCTGGAGCAGCTCAGGAAGGGCTGCAGCTGTGGGAGGGAATCCAGTCGGAGAAAGTTAGTGACCCATGGCGGAGCAGTGTGGGGAACGCTGCGGCCCATAGGAGGAACTCATGTTGGAGAAAGTTTGTGGAGGACTGTCTCCTGTGAGAGGGGGACCACGATGGAGCAGGAGGAACAAGTTCCGGACACTCCCCTCACCGAAGATGAAGGAAGTGGCAGCGCTGACTGCACCCCCCATTCCCTGCCCCTGCGCTGCTGGGGGAGGAGGTAGAGATATCGGGAGCAGAACTGAGCTATTTCTTAGTTAGGCAATAAGCTGTTAACTTCTTCCAGTAGAGGAGTCAGTAATGTTTTACCCTAGATGGGGTAAAAAGCAGCTTTCAGGTAGTTCTAACATAGACAGTTTTGAGCGAAGGTCAAGAATAGGTACTTACCCCTAGGACATTTACTATTACTAGTTGAACTGTTAAGAAACACGTTTGCTATTGATGAAAGCATAAGGAATATCATGTATGTTAAGACATGAGACCATCTAACTGAAGTGCCTTTCTTTTCTTAAAGAAAACAGAGGTTTTTTTAGAAAACAGTGCCTCTTCTAATGCCTAAGGCAAATCAAGGGGAAGCGAAGAACTAATAATTTGTGAGGGCAACTGGTCAAATCAACTTTGTTTCTGATGGTGGGAGAAAAGTAGCTGAAAGGTTTCCACTTCTGTCCTGGTTCTAATCCTAGCAGGAAAACAGACATGATTCTAATTACTCCCTTCTTTCCACACCTGATACAGTTTAACTGAAAGTAAAGATACAGTGCCTCATAAATTTATATAAGAAGCTCTTCCAAGGAAACCAAGCTATTTAATATCCCTATCTGCATTCCTAAGTGTCACACTCACAGTCCTGTCTCCATTTTTCTCTGCTGGATAGCTGTCAGTGGCCACGACGCTTCAAAGGAGAAAGATGATTCTGTGCAACTATTCACCTAAAATTACTGAAGTATTTTAAAAGCACAGTGCTTGGTGCTAGCTCCATTTTTAGTGAGGAAAGCAACCAAAACACTTGGAAAGCTGTATTTCAGTGGTCAGGAATTTGACTGAATGGCTAAAGCAAACACTTAAGGAGCCTAAAAAAACAATAAACCCAAAACCCCCTAAACTCCTTCCTGGTAATAAAAGACTCACATATGCGATGTACTTTGGCCTCGATTCTGCAATCATTCTTGGAACAGAGCTCTCAAGCTTTCAGAGGAAGTTCAATATGACTGACATGAAAAACTACATTTCAGGTTCACAAATCCTTATGTTAGCCTGAAAACTGCGACTCACCTTTAAAGAAGCTGCCCCCATAAGGGACCACTCATCTTTTTGGTGTGGTTTCCTAAGGATACAAGGCTTATGCAGTCTCACTGTGTCTGTATATCCATCTTCATCATAATTTGGAGGACTGTTGCCAGTTCCACCTAACCTTGCCAGAGAGGTAGAAATACTGAAGATACTGTGATCCCATAGGTTTCGTTAAAGTAGGTGATCAAGGACTGAGAATAAAACAATGTCCCTCAGAAATGAGTAACGGTAGTGTGACGTTTCATCCTGTATGCTCAGTGGAGACACACAGATTTATAAGAAACCTGACTTCATTATTGTTGATGCTCTTGTGTTCTGCTGGGATCCATTCTGGCTCCCACTTAGCAGTATTACGTAGAATGGGATGGCTGTGACTTCCCAGCCTGTGGTAATTGCTCAGGGTGAGAACTTGTAGTCTCAGAAGTTGACTATCCTTGCTAGCGTCACTGTTAGCTTAACACTTACTGCAATGATGCTAATGGTCACCTTCAGGCAGGCCCAAAGAACTCCTGTTGCTGAGATGATGTTATGTAGAAGGGTAATCCCATGCAGGCTTATCAGCAGAACACATAAGCAGAGCTGAAAGAGAAGAGGCAAAGTTTTGGTAAAACTATTAGTTTGAGAACATACAGCCCACCAAAAAATAATTGACACAAACTCCTAGCAAGAGTAAGCTGGGGACAGGTCTGAAGGATGCAATTTTTCCTCAGAAATGGTATGAAATTGGACACAAGGATAGATCTACTCCCCTGTATGCCATATTAGCCATAACAAAGAACAGGGAAGGCAGTAAGATGTGCTCCAGATAAAGCATAGGGTAACATAGTAGTGAAGTAGGAACAAGGGGTAGTATACAGAAGTACAAACTTTTTCTAAACAGATCTTGGGTTCACTTCACTGATCTGTAACATCAGGTTGCTGTCTCACCCTGATTGCCCTGCTAGGTGAGGCTCCCCTCTCCCATCCCAGGAGCATTTTCTCAAATGTAGGAGACTGCTGGAAAGTAAGAGACTGTAGGCTGAGATGTTGTGCAGTGATAACCTTTCTCATTTTACGAGGACATGCTGGGTTGGAGCTTCTGGGTGCAATTGTTTTTATGGACAAAATTCCCCAAAATAAGTTTCAGTTCTTATGTTGGACAGGAAAGTGATAAAATACACATTGATTCCTTTTTATGGATTTTTAACTAAACTTCCCCATAGCAAACGCCTGGACAGATGACCATTATTAAGCTAATCTTATCTAAAAGGTAAGATACATGCAGGATTGCTCTAGGATGTTAATAGTTCAGCTCGGCTCCTCTAAGATATTCTCAATAGGAAGGAAAAAAGGGAACTAAGGGGGGGAGAGATTTCTATACCTGTGCCTGAAGATCAAAGGTCAACATGGAAAAACAGAGGTTCAGCATGAAGTATTGTGACTGTAGGCTTTCAAGAGCACCACCTACTCGAAAGGCCATCATGCTTTGACTCTGAATGAGGATGATGGCACAGATCACATCAAAGGAGCCAACCAAGAGGATGAGAATGAAGCGTGCCTGGTGGGAAAGAGAAATAAGGATATGACCAGCCATGCCAAAACAGGGACCTTAAACATTCTAAGTGGAAATAAAAGAATAGAGGAGTAAGGAGAAGCAGGTTGCCTATTAATAGCATTTTAATAGACAGCAATTAATGGCGACAGTTTGCCACACTGTTAAGTGGCAAAGATCAGGCCATCATTTTTGACACGTGTTGCAACCACTCGGTATTAACTCTAAACTCACATTGGCTATTTTGGTTTACATTACCCCCAATGTATTAGTTTTACAACTGTTATGAGAAACATAACCTTTGCACTCCCTGTAATGTCGTGATGACTTTTAGCAAGGTTTTGTTTGAGGTTTTATCATACGGTTGAAAGAAATGGCTTTCTTTGATAGAGACTGGCTCTAAGCTTCCTGTATGGCATAAACCCACTGGTGAGAACCTTTCCTGTTGATTTCAATGGGGACAGTAGGTTATTCTGAATGCTGTACTTATTAAATTTCAGAAAAGATTGGTTTTGTCTGGGTTGTACCCACAACTTTGCTGGCACTCACACTAAATGTCTGTTGCTTTAAAGATGGCTGAAGTGGCAAAACATCCTTCAATTCATAATTACAGTGATATGAGAATATTTATACTAGTATGCCTTATTCTGGCTCTGCAATTTGGCTAAGGAAGCAAGGAGTTACAGTAATCCAAGTTACTTTTACAGTAGTGAAAAAAAGTCCTCAATAGTACGTTTTCTACACCCGGTTTTACTTCGAGGTTCTCATTTAATATATAAACTGATGACTGGGATGCATACCTTAAAGTAATTTGAATCTCTTTGCCTGTTCTTTATTGACCCTAACAACCCAGTTTGCTGTAGATAAGTATGTTCAACTAAATGTACATTTGATATGTATATTGAATAGGCAAATTGTCTCTTCTGTTGAATAACAATTTTTGGATGACTTGACAGCAAGGAACCTCCTTCTCACATGTGTGCTAACTGTGCGACCACAAAAGGGAAAGATTTCTGAGAAGCACAGTAAGCGGAAGTTTAACTAAAAATCTTAGTAACGCATAGAATACAACCCTTGTATTAAATTTTGCTATTACGAAATGCAAACAAGATAATCTGGAATGGCAGTACTTCCCCTAGCACACTGTATCTTTGTTTCCTTGCAGGTTACTGTAACTCCTAAAAACACATGGCTGCATTTATGGAGCAGCAGAGCTAATGGCTGTGTCCTTCCATATAGACTTGAGACTCCAGTTCTGTTCGTAGGTTAGATTTATGTGACTTGTGGCCAGCCATTTTATAGACAGAAATCTGAAGTAGAGTAAGTGAAGTGAAGGGTATCTTCTGCAGTAATCCTGTGTTAGTAAATTCTTTGTTATTTATGTTACTTTCAGATACTGCCATAAAGAAACCATAGAATAGCTCAGAGAAACAGATTTTCAATTGTGGAGGTGCACATTTTGTTATTCAATGGTAGGAATAATTCAGCCTGATTTTCCTATGTTATCAGTGCCCCTATCACAGATGTCTTGCCTTTCTACGATTTTCAAATCCAAGATATGGAGAAAAGTGAAGTTAATTAAACCCAGGAGACTAACCAGGAGTTTTGGCTTTTGCTCAGCAGAGAGAACTGTGAAGTTGACAATGGAACGAAACATCACTAGCAAGATGGAAAGAACAAAGACGATGAGCTCCTGGCGATTCTCCTGCAGGATTCCTCTAGTCACATAGTATACACAGAACACTGGGAAGGAGAAGGAAAGGTCAGTTACCAGGTGAACACAGATTGCACATGGTGCAATTTTTCAGTATGACAAAATGGAAGTATCACGATCATGTAACTTGGGCTTCTCAGTCAAGAGCATATCTTTATTCTTACCAAGGAGCCAGAATCAGATACTTAAAATGAGTACTCTCCCCTGTGTTTAGCATACAAGAAATGAAATAATTTTTATTTACTTGTGAAGTAATACTTTGAAAATGGCAACATATTAGCTATCCAAATTAATTGGCAGCTGTGGTATGTTATTCTGTTAATACTATATTGAACATTATGTTGAATAATATAGTTGAATTAAATGAAGCAACACAAATTTTATTAAAGAACTGAAATGACATAATATTCCCAGTGAGAGTAATTCAAGTGACTATCAAGCAATAGCTTGATAACACTTAACCTCTGCAGTATTGTTTATGTGGTTCTGACCACTACAAACGGCCTGTTTGTTGAACTGAACTTAGACTGCATTCCTAACAGTTTATTTTTGTTAGCCAGAGAATAACTGGTTTGGGGAAGTTCCGAGTTATGTTTTTATAAAATACATCAAAACCCGACACTCTTAATACCACAGTTAGACATTACTGTTGAACTCTATGCTATTTTGACAAAGCTGAAATAAGGAAAAGGCTTTCCTTTCATAAAAACAGGAATCAGTGTTTTCTTCTTATATAGGATGATCCTGCAAACACTAGTTAATTCTTACCATAGACAAAGTAAAAATAGATTTCTTTTTCCAGAGGGCTTCTTCCTGGATTTCACAATCAAATAATCTCGTTTTGTAGTTGGGACATGGGAACAAAGTGTCATAGAAGTTTTCAATTAATATAATAACTTAGTCTCTCTAAACAAACCTTCTAGTGAATGAACTTCCTTTTTCACTATCAGTAATTGAGAAAACTGAAAATGAATGGCAAATTACAGAGTGAATCATGTGATTTTTTTTTTGGCATGCTTATGACCTCAGGAAGACCTGAAAGATTTAAGACAGTATTTCCTTGTTTTGCAAATTCAGCTGCTAAATCATAAGTCTGTGCAAATAATTTTAAAACAGACTATTTCTGAGCAGAAAGATTTTTTTCGAATATACATGCATTTCTTAAATCAAGGACATCCCCTTGTTTTTGGTAAGTGAACATTTTTTGACAAATTAAATCCCAAACCCTCTTTAAAGTAAATATCTCTAGTAGTAAATCCAAGAGGTTGTTACAGTCAGGGCATCTGGTTTTTTTTTTGGTGGTTTTTTTTTTTTTTGTTTTGTTTTTTTTAAGAACTATTATCAGTTCTGTCAGTCTTTGTCTACCCTATAAAAATCCATGGGTTTGGCATGTTTATGGAGGTTAGTTTACACATCTTAAAATCTCAAGGTAAGCCAATCATAGTTTTAACATGTTCCTTGAATGATGTTATCTTTACTGACCAATATGGTGAAATAGTAACTTTTGTTTACATTAAAACTTTGAAATCTGAAGTAATGTGTTAAAAATACACTATTTTTCCTGAATTAAACCAGAGGTTTGTGAGAGGTGTGCAATTCTTCCCATGCGTTGCAGCATAGAATACTGTTAGCATCAAAAGAAGGTAGGGGGTGAAAAATATATTAGCAATGCTTTCAATTTCCCCATTTTCTAACATCATGTGATTCATTTGGCTTATTATCAAGGTTCTTCATTTTTCTCTGAAGCACAAAACAGTGGTTGCCAACAAAAACAGTGTGACAGATTGGAGGCACCAATGGCCTGTTCTAACATTGCAGTTTTTGTTGGTATGCTGAGTCCTGTGTGAAAAGCTGCTAATCAAACCAGAGTTTTGGACTAAAGGTATTGTTTGTATGTGTCTAATTATAGAATCTGGAACACATCTATTGTCTTTGTTCCCTTTGGGTGTAAGCATGAAAGCTGGAAAGCAATGACTGCTTATGATTAGCATGTCCTTCACATACAAGGTGTTACACCCACAGAATCTATTATTTTCTACACTGTTTTGGCCAGCGAGCCGACAGCCAAGACATGCTAAAGCCACCGAAGAGGACTTCCTAAAATAATTATAGTTGTGTTTCTTTTCATGTTGTTTCATTTCTGTGGACCCATGAATATGAACTTAAGTTTCTATTGAAGCTCTAACTGGAAATATCTAAGCAAGTTTGGATTTTGCTTCCAGTAGGACAAAATTAGACAAAAAAAAAAATCATTGAAAAAAAATATGAAGTCCTTATTTTCTTTTATTAAAATACTTGAGGTGAAGCAACATCCTTGCAGAAACTTACCACAGAGAGATGACATAACATTTCCTTGTTTCAGATCAAACTGTGTATTTTTGGATTCTTGCAATGTAAGAAGGTACCTTGAAACCAACTACAACTCGGGTATTAGCATGGCTCATGTCAGGAGATGTTCTATGATGAGCCTTGGACTGTGGACATCTCTGAATTCCCCAGCATATTACAACAGAGACATTAAAATGGGAAAGGATAAGCTCTTTCTGGCATAGCTGAACATCTAGTACATCTTATGTGAAGCGACAGCTGTCTAAATGCAAAATCATTGCCACATCTGCTTAAGGAAATGCCAGTAAAAATGTCAATTATAGCAAAACTTTCTAAAACCTGAATATTTTTTCACACTATTCACACGTGAAGATATTTTGGATGACACCGTATCTATTACTGATCCTTTCCCTAAAATACTATGGGGAAAAGCAACAATGGCAAAAGCATCTAGCCTGTTAGTGCTAAACCAGAAGATTCTGTGTTGTAATACATCATGCCAAATGGAGTGAAATAAGAAATGTCAGTTGCTGCTTAATTACTACCTTGGGAAAAGATGTATTTGTTCTAAAATACAAACTATGTTTCTTACCAACTCCAACTAACTGAATAAGAGAAATGGTGAAATCTTCCTCAGTTTGTCGAATGAGTGTCTCTATGGTTAGCCCTATTACACTTAGCAGAGACAAAATAGTGACACAGAAGTAGATCTTCACAGGAAATGATAACTCTGAGCAAGGTTTTATCTGTAAAGACAAAAAAATTTTAAATGCATAATGCAGTATAAACTAGTTGCTGTTCCTAAGAAATGCATTAAAGCAAGTCAGCTAAATGACACAAGTGCAAGGTTTTCTTTGGACAAAGGAAGAGGAAGTCTCTAAAATTGAACTGATCCTCCCAAATTGTTGAGGAAGGGACAGGTCCAATTTTATTTCACCATTAATCTCAGATTAGAGTTTTCTGGTTTATACCTGCAGCCTGCCTTCTGCTTTTCTCAGTGCTTTGAAAAGGCCATGGTGTTGAATTTCACCTCCTGAAATCGAGATTGCCAATGCCCTTATCTATACCTATCAAACCAGCCACATTCAGCAAGGAACTTTTTCCCAGTACCCTGTATCAAGACTTTATTTTTAGAAGACTGTAAAGAAAGGTTCACTATTCTGAGCAACGTGTAAAGGATTTGAGAGAGGTTTTTTCCATTTATCTCAGGCAGTCTGCATCATGGGGGCAGAAATCGCACCACGCTAGCAAAAATCACTTGACTTTCCTGGGATGGTGGCAGTCAATTAAAAAAGCTTCATCAGGAGGGACATGGAAGCCGGGTCGCCTGGAGAGGGCGCTGTTGCTGCACCCCAGCTTTGGTGGTTTTCATACTTATTGGGCCCGTTACTCGTCATTTCTTTATCTTTTGATGAATTCGATATTCGGTCTTCGAAAGCACGGGTTTTATTTAAGAAAACCAACTCATTAAAACACGGGAGCGCTCCCGGGCTGTCACCGCCAGCCCCGCGGCCGGTCGAGGACACGGTTGCAAAAGGGAGGACAAATCCGGTTTGGCCCCGAATTGCCGCCTGCTTTGGGAGCGGCTGCGGGGGAGCGCGGCAGTTACCGGGGGAAGCAAAAAAGGCGCTTCCCGGGGTGTGGCGGGTGTACTCACGGGGCCGCAGGGCGTGGGGATGAGTCGCCGGTGCCGCGGGGTGAGGGTGGGCAGCGGGGGCGCTGCGGCGCCGCTGGAAGGGGAGAAGAAAAAAAGAGGAAGGTAAAGGCGAGACAAAGGCGGGACCCGCCATTACCACGCGGCCCCCCCGGGGCGGGGCGCGGCCGCCCGCACGGGCCGTACCACCCACAGGCGGGGGGGGGAGGGCCCTTCATTTCCCCGGCCCACCCCTCTACCCCCTCCCCGCGTAACGAGGCGGGGGAGCACGGAGCGCCACCCCCGCTCACCGCTTGGTTCCGCCCGCCTTCCCTCCCTCCTCTCATGGCGGCTTCCCGCCGCTACCTCTCCTCAGCGCTCTCCATGGCCGCTCCGCTGCCGTCCCCCTCCGGTAACGGCACCTACATGGCTGCGGTGGTCTTTACTCGGTTTCCGGGCAGCGCCCGCACATCCGGGGCAGGCCGGGATGTCACTTCCCCGTGGCGGGCGGGAAGCGCCGCCGCAGGGCGGCGGGGTCGTGGGCGCTCCCTCCTGCCGCCCGTCCCTCTTGCGCCTTCCTTCCTTCCTTCCTTCCTTCCTTCCCTTCCCTTCCCTCCCCTCCGCGCTTCCCCGCTTGCCCTACCCGCGCCTCCCCGGTGACCGCCGTTCGCCCTCCGGGGGGGCGGCCGCGTCAAACGCTGCGACGAGGGCGGCCCGTTACTTCCCGCCCGTTTCGATGGAGGGACCAGCTCTCAGCGAAGCGCCTGGCGGGGCTTCGCGGGGATCTAATCGGCTGTTCCCCGGAGCTGCGTCCCCTGTAACCCTCCCCTTTTATTTTTTTTTTTTTTTTCCTCTCTTCATAAAATGGCCTCCCGTGTCCGCCCGCGGTGACCGGGAAACAAACGGCTGCTGTGAGAAAAGGAGGGCGCGGGTGCTGCTCCGGGCTCCCGGGGAAGGGGAAGCGCCGCGGGCGAGGCGTTTTGCTGACCCGGGGGCTCTCGCTGGGGCAGCGCTGGCTCCCTGGGGCGGAGGGAAGGCACCTTCCCCACCCAGCCCTTCCAGCCGCCCCGGGCGGCGGCACCTCCCCCTCCCGCGGGGGCGGTGCGCGGCGGCGTCCCGCCTCCCCTACCCGCGCCGGGGCGGGGGTGGGTATGTGTGGGGGGGTGTGTGTGTTTTGGGGGGGGGAGGGAAGGGGGGGCTGCCTGCTCCGCTCCGGGGAAGCCGGGAAGCCGAAGCCCGGTTAGAGCGGGAACACCTCGGCTTTGGCAGCGGCGTACCCGGGAGCCCTCAGGTGCTGGCCCAGATGCGCTAAACCGGCAAAATCAGCGGCCGGGCTGTGCTGGCGCTGATGCAGAGGAAGACCCAAAGTCTGAAGGTGCTGGCTCAGCCGCCGCATGCCCTGAGGAGGGAGGTGTTTGTGCTGCCTTCCCCCCCGTGCCTTGCTGCAAGGCTGGTGCTCCGAAAAGTCCTTGAGCCGCCCAAGCAGGGTCAAAAAGGCCGGGTCCAGCAATGCTCCCTGGCCGGGCTCATAGCTTCGGTGCGGAAGGCGGGGCCGGGTACCGGCGGTCCTGCCGCTCCTCCTGGGTTTGGGGTGCTTCCTCAGCTCCGAGGGGCCACGTGAAAACGTGCTGGGTTTTCCTGCGTGGTAGCTGCTTCTGAATGAGAGGAGGGAAAGGCTGAGGACTGGGTGGCTAGAAATACATCTGAAGTGCAAGAAAGTACTAAGCTATTTCAGTCCTTTAGCATCTGGTCTGCATGGGAGATGTGATTTGTGCGATTGTATTTACAGTCTGTGTTTATAAATGTCTTGGATGCTCACTGTCATTTAGTCAATATTTACAGCTTACTTGAAATCTTGAATTCTGTGCATTTGTCATGTTGAAGCAATGTTTGCATGACCTGTGTTGTGTGATAGTAGACTAAGCGATATGCATGCCAAGCCTCTGGTTTTTAACTATAAGATCAGCCTTAGTTCCTTGAACACTTGCAACATTTTTGAGCTTTTATCTTTTTTGTGTGAGGTGTAAAGCTGACTTGGAGTTCTCTGAGTATAGTCAAAAGAAACAATCTGTCTTTATATATAGGTACTAACATAGTCAGAAAAACTGTAGCAATGGCTTTTTGTTTTCACTGTTATATGGTTGTTATTCCAAAGTCTAGAGCACTTCCAGTCTTAGGCAAACAAATGCAGTAAGAAACTGACAGTGTCATACATTTAGTGGTGATTGTCATCATCTCTTTAGCTGTTTAAGAAATAGTTAAAACTTCTGACCAAAAAGTATCAGTTTTGAGGTGAGCTTCATCACAAAATAATTTAGTATTAAATTTGTTGGAGTCCCTGATAGATGCTTGCCAATGAATGTATTTCAATCGTAAAAGATATTCAGCATGCTCTGTGGAAGAATTGTGAAGGACTCTCTGCATAACCGGAGTTGCAATAGATAGTTAAAAACACTGAATCTATAGTGCTGGAAATGCTATGCTTTATTTTCCCAATAAATTGTGTCTTGGGATAGTATGTGTAATTTTTAAAAGACGCTATATTTCCTCTTTCATGTCACTGCTTTGTCTCTTGTTGCTGTATGTGTTATCGTTAAATAATTTTATTCTTTCAGTGCTAAGGATGGATGCTGGTTATATTGAAATCTGGCTATATTGTTGGCTTTTTTATTTTCAACAATTTCTTAAAAATTAATGTTAGAACTGCAGTTTTTCATGAAAAGCAAGTTTAAGTGAATGCTATTGCGAGGATATTTGACACATCCGTGATCTCATTGAACCAATTTAATATCCAAGTTGGCTTTCTCTCTTGCCTTTTTTTAGTCAAGTATGGCTCTGAAAGAACTCTTACTTTTCTCACTTTATGCTTATTTTTGAAGATGACTAGGTAGTGTTAGTGGTGGGTCAAAACTGCTGTGAATTAAATGTAGAGGATGTGTATGGATTAAGAGTAGATGATGTGTACTAGTCCTGGTGTGGATCAAGAGTGATCTTTTCTTTACAGCCTTAAAATTTCAGGGGAGAGCAGTTTCCCTGGTTTGATCTATTGCATGTGCACAAAAACATTTGTTATAGTTGAAGTAGCAAAGGGGGTGCTATTTATTTCAGAAGCTGTGAGCTGATGCTAATTCAAAATGTTTATTAGGTAGTGACACCATTTCCACAAAAGCCCTGTACAGACAGCTGTCACTTCTATATATTCATGCAGGCTGCCTGGCAGCAAAATGATGTTTATTCCCATGGAGGCCACTTTCACACAATAGAAAATAGTATAAGCAATTTAGTAATCCAAACAAGTATGACTAATCTGTTAAAAACTATGGGAGAGAGTAATATTTTTTTATTATTATTATTAAAAATAGATGCTTAAAAGCACAAGCAGATAATGTTCTTCATTTCTTTTCTTCACTTTTAAAAGTCTCCTGAAAAAAGGTTTTTCTCTGCTCCTAAGTTTGAAAAGAACATATTTCCGATTATGTTTTGAACTGCTCTGAGCAGAAGAGGAAAAGGAATTTGAATGCAGGTAGTCTTATGAATTTGATGTCTTAGAGCTTAAGAAATTGGCAAGTTGTTGAATTGGTTATTAGCTACTTCTTGTAAGTCAGAATTTGAGACTCTCAAAGCTTACACTGCATATTTTTTCCACCTTTAATATGATGTTTTTGTTGCTAACATAGTTAAAAGTTGGAGAAGATACAAGAAAGTGTGTAAAATGCACTGCATGCTGTTTGTTCTCTTGAGCTAGAAGAAAACTGAATGTTTGTGTGTAATCCAAGAAAAACAGTCTACCAACCACTGCCACGTTTTCATCTATTGGTAAACATCAGCTGCTGGTTGGTCTTAAGGGAGGAAGACTGAATCAGTTCCAGATGGAGAACTCTTTCAGCCCATTTAAGACTTTCCAGTTGATTTAAGACAGCAGGTCAGTAATTTAGGGGAGTAGTTTTGTTCTTATTTGCTATTCTGCTTCCTGCCATGTGTGGAATCCGCAATATCAAATACGATATTGCTGTGCTGCTGAGGATGGGAGTTTTGTTGTGCTTAATTGCTTTTGTTTTTAATTGAGTAGTATAAACAGAAAAAGTATTAACGAAGTTTCGATAAAGAATAATTTTGAATTTAGAGGTTTGGGGTTTTTTTAAGACCTGAAAAAGGAGGAGGAGCCAATAATTCACTTTTCTTAACAAATAATCCTAAGGAATGTGTGTCTTCCTTCAAAGTTGTGTCTTTGGTTTAACGCAAGTCTATGTGACACGAGTGTGTCAGAGGGTCTTGCACCTCAGTGTGTTGCTAGCTTGATTTCCTGGTAAAATGAAAGGAGATAAGGGGATAGGGATGGAAACCTTCTGTGCATGGCTGTAATAACAGAAATAGAGAACGTAAGGAATGGAAAGTTTCAGCGCAAAGTAGCTGCTGTTAAGGATATGGAAACTGGCAGGATATATTTAACTCTTTAGTACCTCCTCGTGATTTATTTTGAGATGCCACACTGGACATTAAAAAAGCATGAAGAAAATAGTGTATCCTGTTCTCCTGTTAACATGCTAACAAAATTAGGGCAGATGCAGTGGCTTTTCTTACCACTTTATTTTTGTCTGTCAGTGATTATTTCTTGTGCTGCCGTTGTTTGATGCATTGTAGTATTATGATCTCATTTCAGACAGCTTTTCCAAGTTGTCCATTGATTAACTTCGCCGCCGAGAATTACTTTTAAGCTGTATAAGGTCCACCACCTTGTCTATCCAGCAAATGTGCTTCTGGAGAAGAGTGTTTCAAATTTAATTTCCCCTGTTGTTTGTTCACTGAGGAGCAAAAGACATCTTGTCCATCATTTTTTTTCTTACCTGATTAATCCTTTTTTTTTTTTTCTCCTGCACATAAAACGTAGACTGCAAAATAAAAAGCAATAAATGGGATAGTGTGTTTTACTGTTTCAGATAAGGTGTTCAGGTGCAGTTTCTTTCTTAATCCAGACTTTGAATCTGTTAGCATTATGATGCTAACTAACATCACATGACTAGAGAAGAGTAAAGGTCACTGTGTTTTTATTCTCTGTACTCTTCTACTGTAACTTGCCACGTTTCATGTAATTTTTAAGTGGAGAAAGCTCTAGTTGCAAATGCCTTAATGCCTTTTTCTGTCAGATCTTTTAAAAAGACTGAGAACTACTGCAAGTACTAATACTGAATTACATGCTCTAACAGTACTGCAGTGGCAAAATAAGTAATGTTGCAGTCTTTACAAGTAATTAAATAGAGAACAAGTCTGTTTGGAAAGCTCTTGGACATATTTTCCTACTTTGTTTACCTAGGTCTCATAATTACCACGATAACTGTGTTTATGATTACTGGAAGTTATATAGTCCTTGGTTATCGATTGCTCACTTTGTCTCAAGATGGTAACAGGTTAATTTGTACTAAGGGTACAGGCTCCTGCCCAGATTTTCTGGATGGTGAAGATTTTTCTATTGAGTGGTTATGAGAAGACCTTAGACTGAGATCAAAGGATCTGCAGAATCTTGAAGAGGGGTCAATTATAATGGAAAAGGCTGTGTCGACATTCTTTAGAAGACAAATAACTTAATCAGATAAAGTCTTTTGTGTGTGTGCGTGCTATTTTAGAATAAAAAAAATTTCCCTTATCTAAGTTCTTAGTACTTAATCTTGGTATCATGATATTAAGAGTGCAAAATCCAGTCTGAAAGACAAGCTACAGAAGTCTTTATCTTTCATAAACTGCAGGTGAAATGTGGTATCTTTGCTGCATTAGGGATTTGAAATGTCATTACGTTCAGAGCTACATGCCTTTTTCCATCTCTTTTTTTTTTTTTTTTTTTTTTTAATTCTTAGGGAGAAAAAATGGAATGGACCAGATGAAGAAGCATGTGAAGCTTATTTTTAAGCAAGATGTTATTTGGAGAACCAAGTACATTTTTCAGGCCATAGGAGATGAAAGATTAATGACATGATATTTTTGTTCTGTTGAAGTACTGTTCTGTGCTAAGTCAATGTTGGTTTGTATTAAGGACAAATATTAATTTCTTAATGTCAGCATGTCAACTGTGACAAGTGCTCAGACACTGGAGGAACCTAATCCTCCCCCGCCTGAAGAAAAGCCAAAGGGAAAATCACTATTTCTTTTGGGTTCACTGTTTGCGAACAGGAGTGAAAAATTTGTAATTGCTAGGAGTGATAGTGTACCAGAGGAGAACGTTCTGAAAATAACTATCACGGAGACTACAGTCATTGAGTCGGACTTGGGCATCTGGAATTCTCATGCTCTCATCTACCTCACTTTGTGGTTTTTCTTCAGCTTTTGCACTCTTTTTCTTAACAAATACATTCTTTCATTACTGGAAGGAGAGCCCAGCATGCTAGGTAACTCTGTTTTTCTTTTACACTTTAATTCCAGTAAGATGTTTGACAATACCAGATCCTCCTGTATAAAGTTGAGGGACAAAATGGTTCAACTGAAGTGAAAAAGAACTAGTTAGGAGATGTGGGGATGGATCTCGGGGCTGGGCACTCGAGTTGTGATCTTGGCCTGTACAGGGCCTTCTGACACTGCCCGTTCCTCCACTTGCTGAAAGATGGTATGAAACTTTGCTTAGAGAAGAGCTGTAAGATGGTGGTTGAGACCAAGAGCTGGAAAGAAAAATGCAATTTTTTCTTTTCTGTGTTGGAGGGTAGCGTGAGTTTTTTAAAAAAATAAAATTGAGTCAGTTCTTGATAGTCTCCAGAGCTGTTAAGATTAACGTGTTTGTCTCCAGAAATGCAGAAGTTGCCTTTACATGACCTCTATTATCCAATGGGTTGCTTATTCCTTTTTTTTTTTTTTTTTTTTTTTAAGGGGGACACAAAGGGCATTTAATCTGTGAACCAGATTTTATAGGTGTATGCCACCTTTGTTTTATTCTGCTGCCTTGCTGGTAGATGTAAAAGTGAAGAGCTTTTGAGAGAATTCATAAAACCTACACAGTTTCTTAACTGTTAAAAGTACTACACATAAGTTTGTCTAAGAAATTTCTCTTATGTTGCTTGATTCGTCATGTTCCCATCATCTTCTGATTTTATTTTTTTTTTCCTCTCATCTTTAGGTGCTGTTCAAATGCTTTCAACCACCTTCATTGGCTGTATAAAAATGTTTGTTCCATGCTGCTTATATCAACACAAAACACGCATCTCGTATCCACCCAATTTCATCATGATAATGCTGTTTGTTGGATTAATGAGGTAAATGGTTAAATAATTCCTAGAGATCTATGTGGTTGCTTCATTGCATTCTTCTTAACAGAGGCTGTACTTTCATGGCTCTCTTTCTTTTCACTCTTGATTGGAAAGCGTTTGGAGTATTCACCTTTCCCCCCCAAAATATCACAGGATAACCTTATTTTTAGTTCTTAATTCTAAATAGTATGTTCCTTTTTTCAGATGTCAGTTTTATAGCTAGCTTTGCTTCCCATCACATTTAGCTTCTTTCAGAACATTCTCTTCTCTTTCCGGTCCTGTTCTCTTTTGAGGCTGATGTTTGTTTAGTGTACTAGTGTTTATTATGATTTCGCATTGTTCCCTCACTTTTTTCAGCAATTTGCCTCAAAAGTGACACAGGCTATTAACATTTACCTTTTAAAAAGTAAGTATTTGCTGTCTGCTGGGATAGTATCAGTTTGTGGTATAGGAGGGAATACGAATATATGATTAGGTTTCCTCTACACTGCAAAAGTGATAAAGGGCAACAGGATTCAAATAAATTCAGAGAAGCTTTATTGTAATAATGCTGATGTCCTGTTTAGTTTCATGGTTTAAAGTATGGTAAATATGTAGTTTACACTAAAGATGGATAACTGGAAATGATAAAATTTATTTGGTAAAGTACTGTTTATCATCAGAATTGCACTAGCCTTTTCAGCTGAGCCTACAGAATACTTGAGCTTAAAGCACTCAGCTGAAGCTTGGTTAGAGTGCATTAAAATGTAAACTTTGTTTTGTGGAAGTCCACTGTACATCTATAGAAACCACACAGTCGCCCAAGGGTGCCTTCATTTGTGCTAAAGAAATCATATAATTACCAGGTTGGAAGGGATTATTATTTCTTAGCAAAATAATAATGTTTAAGCCAAAGGGGAAAGAAATAGCTCTGACTCATTCCACCTGGCAGGTGCTGTGGAGTAAAGATGCGCAGCTGATGGGCTGCTGCAGTTCAGTCCAGCTGCTGCGGTTTGATGGCCTGATTGCCAGCTACACCTGCCCCTGTTCTTAGTTACAGCAGCTCAAATTCATAAACCTAGGGAAATTATAATGCAGTTCTTTCTTATGCTAGATGCTTAAGAGTAGCTCTTAAAGCACTGTTTTCTGCTTAATTTCATGTGCTCTTCTATTACAGATTTGCAACAGTAGTCTTGGGTCTTGTCAGCTTGAAAAATGTGGCGGTTTCATTTGCAGAAACTGTTAAAAGCTCTGCACCTATTTTTACTGTTATAATGTCTCGGATGATATTAGGAGAATACACTGGTAAGTACTTCACTGTTGATATGTGACTTTTCTTTTTTCCGATTTTTTTTTTTTTTTTGGTATAGTACTGTCACTTAGTTGGCTGTGGATGAGGAGATTCTACTGAAATACAGTAAATCCAGCTGGAAGAACAATTCAGTTTGAACACAATAATTAGAGTGTATATAAAGTAAAAAAGGATTTATTTTAATACAGCTGTGTAAAGGCATTGTTGCTCTGAAGTTATTTTTCTGTCTAGAAAATATTATTGCAGCCTTAAATAACTGAAGTTCAGTGTGTTCCTTCTTATAAGGACAGCTTGCTGCTCAGAATTTTAAATTCTTTAATTTCTTCACTGCGTTCACTCTCTGATTAAAAAAAAAAAAAAGGCAACAAAAAAAACCAACCAACTACTGGCTTACCACAGGATAATTTCTTCGCCATTCCACTTGCTATTGCATGCTATTTGCTTGAAGAAATTTTGCTTGTTACCAGCTGTAAGTTCACAAAGGTAATACAGAAGCCATGTATAGATTGCTTTGTGATGCAAAAGGCTGAAATAAACCAGAAGAAGAGTAATTCAATCACAAAGTTAAACAGAGAGAGTATAATCTTTTCTGTCACTTGGTGAAAAAGATGAAGACAGTCATCAATCCATTTTCTTTCTCCAGGGGGGATGTTTTTCTCAGTAGAGTGTATGTCCATATTGTTTACAAGAGCACCCTGTCTTGTCCCAGATCTCAATTTAGAACCTCTGTACTTTAAAATCCAGTCAAATAAGTTGCTCTTTGTTTGAACTAAAGAAGTTAAGATGGAATTTAAACTTTCAAAGACTGTATTATCTGATAGATGTAATTGGAAGTACAGTAATTAAACTCAGACTTAAATTTTTCTTTGCATTTGCAGGATTGCTGGTTAATCTCTCTCTCATTCCTGTTATGGGTGGCCTAGCTCTATGTACAGCTACTGAAATCAGTTTCAACATTCTAGGTTTCTCAGCAGCTTTATCTACTAATATCATGGACTGGTAAGGCGTAACGATAGCTGCATATGTGGAATAAAGGAATTTTGTTTATTGGTAGATTGAAGAAAATGGTTGCTTGTACTTGTACACTACATTTAAATGTTGGTATTTCAGAGGTATTTTTAGCGGAAGATAGAGTTTATCATATCTGCTAGCATTTATGAGATTAAAAAATGGTATAACTCAGTCTAAAGGAGTTAGACAAAACTCCTTTCTGTAGTTGCATAATGTATAGAATGTGAAAAGTGTAGAAAACACATCTACCCACTGAAGGAAAAAAACTCTTTCTTGTGGATTGGCTTATTTGTCATAATAAATGATTTTATTATGATTTTTTTTTTTCCAGTTTGCAAAATGTCTTTTCCAAAAAGCTACTCAGTGGAGATAAATACAGATTTTCGTAAGTATTAAAAATATTTCAGGTTTTATTATAGATGGACTTTGGGCTACATAAGGAAACTGCGGTTATATTACACCAAGATTATTTTTTTTCTCAGACTGTTTACAGATAGCTTTAACTTAAATCATTTTATCAGACGAAGAAAACTCCTCTATGCTCAGATCCCACTGCGGTAGGTTAGAGTTTCATAATCTCATCATACCCAGAAATAAATCCTTATTCTGCAATTGTAAAACATCCCTTAACGTTATCAGGCATGCAGAAATGAACTTTAGAATTCACTCAATGTTTTAATTACAAAACGTGAGCCTGGAGTAAAATCTTACAGTAAAATAGACCTACGTGTATGTATAGCTATATATATGTATTTTACCACAAGATGAAATGCTAGTTTTGGTCTTGAAGACTTGTGGCTTTTCTCTTCAGTCTATCTCAGCCAATACAAAAAGCAGAACACTGTCTTTCAAGAGGTTGTGGAAATTGTTGTCCCCAAAGCTTGGTAGATGGCTTTTATTACTTTTTGATATCTGTAAATACAATAATGATGCAGCTTTCTTCAGCTGTAAGAAAGAGGAAGCATTTAATCATTTTAATCACTGCTTTTTCTCCTTTGTAGAGCCCCAGAACTTCAGTTCTATACAAGTGCTGCTGCAGTGGTTATGCTTATTCCAGCTTGGATATTTTTCATGGTAATCTGAATTCAATAACACTGATTTATGTTTTCTTTTTGACTTGTGAGCAGAATGCACAGCTAAGGTTAATTTTAATTTTTACCTTTCATTCTTAACTTTTTTTAATCACCCTGAAATGAATTTCATGTTACATTTGCAAGAGATTGGGGAGAGGTTAAAAATAAAAAAAATTTCAAAGAAAAAACTTAATATACACGAGTTCACAAGTGACCGAGAAAGCCTGTGCTTATTTCAGGATTTTTGAGATCAAATCATATTTTTGTCTAAGTGCATTTAAAGTTTTAGATAAAGACTTGAAAACCACATATTAAATGTTTGTTGACTTTTTGCTGATATTAACATGGTATACAAGAATATTAACTCTCTGAAAGCAAAATTGAGCTGAAATAAGTGTAATGTGTATCAGGTTAAATAGGGATCCTTCATATTCATTCTGGCATTTCATTGCCATGCATCAGTGTTGGCAGAATATCTCACAGGCAGGCTGAGCACACTGGAACGTTCAGTCAGATGAGAGCTATTTTTCTAATACATTCTTTTTGGGGGAAAATTTGTAGGATCTAAATGTCTTGTATGTTTCAAGTTTTGTCTTGCTGAAGTTTAAATGTAAAACTGTATCTGCTTATAATAATAGTTGGGTGGAAAGTAACTTTTAGATTTGCTTACAAACAAATGTTTCAAGTCTTTTTTGTTGTTGTTTAGGATGTGCCTGTGATTGGGAAAAGTGGGAGGAGCTTCAGCTACAACCAAGATGTTGTCGTACTTCTCTTAATAGATGGAGTCTTGTTCCACCTACAAAGTGTTACAGCCTATGCATTGATGGGAAAAATTTCTCCTGTGACTTTCAGGTAAAACTGTATTTTCATGTCAAGAACACTATTTTAGTTTCTTCTTTTCTTGCCCAGTATTTCTGCTTGAGACGTAGGCAGTAAAGGTATTGTGCAAAGGAATAAGTAATATACGTGCAGCAAGTTAAGAAGAAAACCTTTCACATGCAGATCGCCAAAACCTTGTGGTTTGCTTCCTCAGAGTGTGAGGAGAGCAGCAGTTGAGCCATGCTGTTGAGCTTACGGAACAGATGCTCACATTTTCTAGCAGGGATATTCAGGTTGAACAGCCATTCCTTAAAGCTGGTTAATGAGACTGAACAGATTCACCGAAACTCTAGATCCTAAGTTTAAACTGCCATTTGCTTCAGTGACAAGGCAATACCTATATACACCTCAGTGCAGTACAGAACATGAGCGATCAGCTCTGTATTCCTTTTTTCTGAAGCATGACACCAGCATGTCAAGCTGCAGTTGTTGGATTATATGTGTTCTCTAAAGACAGCTTCCACCTACGTTGTCAGTTATTGACAGCTTTGTTAGGCTGTTCCACAATTCTGATTCAATAATTGGTCATTTTTATGAATAGCCCTAGGGCCTGTGGAGTAATCCTGGTCCTAAACTCTGAAGGCTTCTGCTGTTTTATACTTTCAGATGCCCCTGCTACAGTCTTGTGACAATTCAGTTACACACATGCTTATTCTGAAATTCTTAGTCGTCTCTTCATAAAATGATATAAAAGCATATATTCATATTTACATGTATACATAATTTCTTAACCACTTGCTGTAATGTTGTTGGTATGATTTAGATATTCTTTTCAGGTTATAATGCTGTATTACCTGAATAGTAGCAGCACACTCACAAATGATGGTTATATTGCTGGTGTTCTGTTAACATTTTCTGGATGTCTCTGTTAGCTAGAAATGAATTGCTGACACCGTACTGCATACTTAAAAGCAACAAAACCAAAGACCTGAGGTGAATTATTCATACTAGCTCTAAAATTGAGATGAGTGTAAAGATATGAGCGCTGGTATACAAGGAATCTGGTACTGGTATTGGCTTCAGGAGGAAAAGTAGAAGTGGAGTTGGTGTTTAAAAAGCAAAGAAGACAAAGAGATGTCCCACTGTGTTAAAGCATGGTTGTGTGGGGGATAGGAGAAATCTTTCTTCGGCCTTAATTTTTATATTCCTTTCCAGTGTTGCTAGTACTGTGAAGCATGCGCTGTCAATCTGGCTAAGTATTATTGTGTTTGGTAACAAAATCACAAGCCTCTCAGCCATTGGGACTGTTCTAGTGACAATTGGAGTTCTACTATACAACAAGGCAAAGCAGCATCAGCAAGAGACTATACACAGCCTGGCAGCTGCAGCCCCACAACCCACACAAAGTACAACTGAAGATACTGAGCCACTAATTTCCAAGGATTTGGAACCGTATGATTAATATGGCCATTTATTCTCTTAACCTAGTGTAACTCAAAGGAATTCTTCCTGAACGTGGTTATTTCTTCAACTGTTGATGTGATTTGGTTCTTTTAAGTTCATGCCAGGTGAAGCCTGGGACTTGAAGCAGAGAAAAAACAATGGGAAGAATCCAGTAAGCCTGATTTACTGAGAAACTGATACAGCAAACAGAGGACCTAGTCATATAATGTGGTAAACGTGGGCTTTATTGTCTTTCCGTGACTGCAAATAACATACAAGCCTAGATTAGAGAAAAAAATTTAGTGTCTTGTGGGAAAACAATACCTTTCTCCCTACCCATCAAAATAATGTGAAAACCTGGACACATCACTGTATTCTGCTTGCTTGCAGTGGAATGAAATTGGTGCATAACTGAAATTCCTAGTTGCTTGTTACTCTATGCTGCCTGCATCCTACATCATTTCTGTGCATTGTAGAGCTGGAAGAAAGAACCCCTTCCTCTCCCAACAAATGACTTGCTCTGGTATATGTGTAGGTGAAGCAAACTATGGAAGTGAATCCATGCCCCAAAGCAGTGGTGAGCAGCTATTTCTGACTACAAAACTCAGACTAAAATTTAACGTGGAAATATTGATCCTGGTTGTATATTGACAATACTGAAATGCAAGTATACACACGTATGCATACACTGTATAAATGGAGTGTCGAAATAAATATTTGCCGTTGCTTAGAGGTAAAAAACACTGAAAAACTTTGGTGATAAAGGAAGCAGGATCTCTGTATTTCTGTAAGAAACTATTTTAAGTTCTTGCATTTTAATATGTATTTCTGTTATGAGGAAATAAATTGACTCTGGGGTATTATTTCTAAGAGTGCAACAAAATACTGCCTTTCAGAAACTCAGGGTTATAAATCTGACCTATGTGCGAAGTATTTCTATCATTTCCAATTATGTAAAGAATCTCGGAAGTATCTCTGGCAGAGATGGAAGAGAGTTCACTGAAGGGAGGAATATTAACCATAAACTGAGGCTAATCTTTATTTCTACTGCTCCTAATAATTTTCTTTCTTAAGGAAATTCTGTTTGTGGTAGATCAAAGATTAAAAGTTAACCTTCCTTTCAAAAAAATTACATTTTTAAGGATTAGTAATTAGTTTTGGCCAAAAAATTCAAATAGACTTTTTGGTAACAAAATTGAATTAACAATTAAAATGAGCTGACTTTTAATAATTACCACTCTTCTGAAGGATTGTAGCATGGAATTAGAAGCATGGATAAAGTGGTGTTTATGGTAAAAATAACTTCTAATAGGAATTTACCAGTGGAGTTGCTGCAGAATTTACATGTGAGGTATTCCATTGGCTTTAGTGAACTATTCCTTCAGAGAGCAAAAATGTGTTCAAGAGGCTCTCTGGAGAAGCCCATCTTCTGTTCAAATAGTCTGTGCTTGCTTTGTCTTACACTTACTTCAGGTTACATTCCTCTTCATGACTGGTTGCCTGGGGCGTATTCCCTGCAGATTTGAGCGGGAGCAATATGTCAATTCTTTTTCATCATTGTATATGTGATGTCTGTGGGTTTTTGTTTCTTTCTACTACTATCACTTTTACAAAAGCTGTGGACTGTGGGGTGGAGCTCTGTGTATTTTTGAGGGTTTGTTGGTTGTTTGTTTGGTTTTGGTTTTTTTTTTTTTTTTTTGTAGTTATGCTTTCAAAAATCTCAGTGTATTTGGCAGAAAAAGTCTGGATTGTATCATATTTCTACTCTTGTTGGAAGACAGAAACATGACTAGCTGGCTGGTTGCCTAGCACCCTTCTGCAAACCCCTTCATCAACTGACTGAGGTTCACTTTAAAAGCCAGCATGCTTTTGCATTTCCTATTGCAGGAAAAACTTTTGTGAACCAAACAGCTGGGAGGATTTTGGAACTTGTAATTTCTAACACGTCTAAGCTTATTAGTGGCTGGTTTAGCCCCACCTGTTCTGTGGCAGCATGATAATCCTGTTTTACTAGGTGTTTGTTTTCACAGTGTTGATCTTACGTACTTTTCAATGCAGTTGTCTTGGCCTTTTATTTCTTTTAGATTAAACAAACCAACCTCTTTACAGTCCACTTGTAAGACCTTTTCTTCCTCTAGTCATACGAGTAATTCTTCTTTGCCATTGTTCCTGTTGGGAAAATGAGGACCATTTTGTGCCATTAAGAATTCATTATAGCTGTGTGCCTTTTCATGGCTTTGTACGATGGTAGCCATAACTGCCTGATTTTTGTCTGGGAAGTCCTGTCTCCGAAAGAGAGTGTTCTTTTTGCTGGCGTTTCTACGGCCGCACCCTTGATACTCGTGCACTGATCCAGACCGGCTCTCTGAGCTAGAGCTATGCCCATTGTTTGTTTTACATTTGTCAAGTGCGTTCTCATAGAAACAGCACGTCTTCCTTAAAATGTGAGTTCCTGAAATACCACCAGGCCTTGCTGAAGAACACTGACTTGCCATTGTGTTGCTTGTAGCAGTCAATATGTTTTTAAAATTACATTTCCCAGCTCAAAGAATGGGCAGATGAGGAAGCAGCTGCACCTAATGATCTTTTCTATTGTGTGGTGCATTGTAACCTCTAGTCAGGGTTAAGTAACCTCACAGCTTTAGGTGTGTTATGTTCTATCTGCCACTTTTCCTTTTTAGGAATTGCCTTCTCACACTGAATTCATGTAAATCCTATTTCGTGCTGTGTTTGTTCAGTTGCCGCCTGTATGCGGCTTGTTTAAATGATTGTTTATCCGATTGAACAGTAATAAAATTTAATATTGTTTTTTATATGTAATTATAAAGGTGGACCTAAAGGATGACAGAGGTGGTGAGTTTCTCCTTTCCTGGCCCTGACGTGTTGGGTTTTTATTTGGTGTTGAACGGGCACCGCTCAGCCGCTGATTAATTACCCGCCGGCCGGCGGGAGGGCTGATGCGTTGTAGGGAACGGAGGCTTTGATCGCTCATTAGTGAATTTTTTTATTATTATTATTATTGTTTGTTGTTGTTGTTACTTTGGCACTTCGAGCTGCCGCGGCCCCTGTCATGGCGGCGCCCTCCCGCGCGCTTGCGCTGCGTCATCAGCTTGCGGCGGCGGGCGGAAGTGGCGTCTTCGCCCCGCGCGGCTCGGCCCAGTCTCCGGTAGCAGCGGCGGTGAGTGTCCCGGGCTCCGCCCGGGGGGACCAGGGCGCGGCACCTCCTCCCTCCGACCCCCCAAAGCCCTCCCCAAATCCCCCCGGTTCCAGCGCGGCTGGTCCCTGCGGGGCTCGAACGGCCGCCGGGGAGGGTGAAACCGCTCCCTGAGGCGAAAACGGGCCGCAAGGCCGCCTCTTTTCCCTCCGCGTCTTTCCCGGGGCGGGGGAGGGGGCGGGAAACGCCGGGCCGTGTTTCCAGCCGGGATTTTCCTTTCGCCCGGGCGGGTCCCTCGGTTGGCAGCGGGGGCGTATTGCTCTGCCTCCGCCCGGGTCCAGTCCCTCTTGGCTCGGCGAGAGGTCGGTGCGCTAAGTGTCTGCATGTAAAAAGTCAGTGTGAAATAGCCGTGGCTGCGTCGGGCGGTGTAATTTGTACGGGTTTCATCAACGTCGTGTTCTTTTTTCAGAGCTGTTTGGTTTTTTTTTTTAACTCAAATGGGTGATGAAAAGGATTCTTGGAAAGTGAAAACTTTAGATGAAATTCTTCAGGAAAAAAAACGAAGGAAGGAGCAAGAAGAGAAGGCAGAGATAAAACGTATGAAAAATGTAAGCTGCCCTTTGGTATACAAGCATTTCTAATAAAACCTGAGAAGCTTCAGTGCTTATATCCTCATTTTCCGATGAGAACAAGGCTTCTTGCCCTGGCAGTGGAATTCTTCTGTGCACTTAAACTTGTTTTGTGTGTGAGCGCTGGTTTCAAAGTTTGACAAAAATACAGTGCTTTGCAAAGATCTTACTGGCCATGTGTTGTATACTGTGGTTTGTTTCAAAGTTATTGGTTAGAAAAGATAAAGAAATTGATGTAATTAACTGGAAGCTGCAGTTCAAGTAACAACCTTTCAAAGATTTTCATAGAAGAATGGGTTTCAAGAATTGGTTTTGAATAACTTTTACGTTACTATTTTGTTTTGTAAAACTACACACAAAACTTTCTTTTGGGAAAAAAACCACATCAGTTAATGAACTTCTCCTTAAAAATTGCTTAATTATATCTAATTACACTGAATTTACATAAGTTCAGCTACAATTGCAATCAAACTGCTTTTGGCTGCTTAAGCTGTGAAATCTCCGCTTCATAACTTAGCATACTGTACTGGTGTGGCCAGGTGAAGATGGCTTTTGAGCCAGGAATGGAAGAGTTGAGTACTCTACATTTTTTCATTTTATGACATAAAAATTAATTGCATTTAATTTTTTCCTTTTTTTGTGTTCTTATCACAGTCAGATGATAGGGATTCAAAGCGGGATTCTCTTGAAGAGGGGGAGTTGAGAGATCATCGCATGGAAATAACAATCAGAAATTCACCTTACAGGAGGGAAGACTCTATGGAAGACAGGTAAGAGTAAGAGAATAACCTCGATGCCTTAGGAAGAGTTACTGAACTTAAGCTTTAGAAGTACGGGGAAGAGGGTTTAAAAATATCTGAAGGGGAAAAGTTTAATTCTTTAATGTGCAGTTGTGCCGACTCCTATTCATGCCAGGGTGTCTCTCTGAAGCACTGATTAAGGCTTGACCGTGTACTGTGTTCCAGTTTTGGCCACTACCTAGTAATAAAATACTTTGCTCAAGCTTCAGGTAAAGCAGGCCAGCTGAGTTCTCTTTGGTGCCTCGTTCATCCTTAGTTTGTTTGTGTATTAAAAGTGCACATAGAATTCTAGCTTAACTTCTCATCTATGTGACAATGATTTTCTGTAATGTTCTGTTAATGCCTTGGTTCAGGAGTGTGGGGAAATGAACTTAACAAAATAGAAAAAAATACATTATTTTCAAAACGGAGAAAAGAGAAAGTAACACACAGTCTGTTTGACAGTACATGTAACCTTCCTGAGTTTATTAATTTGTCTTGTATTTTAGAGGCGAAGAAGATGATTCCTTGGCTATAAAACCACCACAGCAAATGTCACGGAAAGAAAAAACCCATCATAGAAAAGATGAGAAGAGGAAAGAGAAACGTAGACATCGTAGTCATTCAGCAGAAGGTTGTTACTACTACATTTGGATAACATGTCTGGTAGCTTCCCAAGGTGAAACTGAACAGGCACTATGTAGGGAGTAAAGAACACATGTCAGGAGGAGAAGACAAAGGAATTTAAATCTGTGTTATTTCTTTTATGTTTAATGCCCTTATGGGAATGCCAGGGATATATGTGTGTTTGAAAGGACAGTAATCACTTTGGGACAGGGACATGGAGTCTACTTCTACTGTTTGAAGTCTGTGAAGATTCTTCCTGGCTTCACTGAGTGACTGGGCTGAGCTATGATCTTTGTACCTGACTATAAGGGAAAAAATATCCTTTCTAGAAACATTTGTGTTGCATTCCCATTATTAACAGCCTCTTTCTGTTTTTAATGCAAGTATTTGTGCAAGACTTCATAATCTTTTAATTTTTGAGATCAGGATTTTTCCATTAAGATGATAACAGAGAACATGAAAATAAGTTACCATAAGTTTTATCCTTTCTAGTTTTGCTTTTTAAAAACAGAAGGGCTAAATATTTTGAACAGTAACACTCCAAAATTAATTTTTGTTTGTTTAGGGAAACATGCCAGAGTGAAAGAGAAAGAACGGGAACATGAGCGTAGGAAGAGGCATAGAGAAGAGCAGGATAAAGCCCGTCGTGAATGGGAAAGACAGAAACGGAGAGAAATGGCAAGGGAGCATTCCAGGAGGGAGAGGTACATCCATCCCTCCCTCCCCTGTCGCAAACCAGCAGAGAGATGAACAGCTTCCTCTTCTAAATCTATCTCTAACCTTTCATTGTTCTGAAATGACAAAAAAATTCAGAGCAAAAACTTGTAAGGTCTGATGCCAGTGCCATGTTCCTGTGAATGTGTTGTCTGATGAAAATGTGTTCTTGACTTTAATTACGCTTGTAAGTGGCTTCATTACAACAGATATTTCTAGGCAAATTCATTGCCAGTGTTTTGCTGTAATGGGCTAAAAACCTGAACCAGATCTGCATAGTATCAGGGGATTTATTAACTGCACTTGCTTAATTTCTGTTTAAATCCCAGGAAGGGTGCAGAAGCTCGTGTGTTTTAGAGCTCATGGTCTTTGTCTTTGAAATGTTGTTTTTAAAGGATCAGCTGAAGAGCTATGTCTGTTTTTGACAAATATGCAGTCAGTGGTATTGTTGCTAAAGAAGTTGAATGGTCCTGTAGTTTGTTACAGCAAAACCATTTTCCTTCATAAGCTGAATTTGTACTGAAGTGTAATGTAACAAAAAAATAATTACTTTCTAGAGATCGTTTGGAGCAACTTGAGAGAGAAAGAGAGAGAAAAATCAGAGAGCAACAGAAAGAACAAAGGGAGCAAAAAGAACGAGAAAGGCGAGCTGAAGAAAGACGTAAGGAACGGGAAGCCAGAAGAGAAGGTAACTATCTCTGTCAATATTGTTTGGGCTTACCATCTGCTGACACAGTGGTGGAATGGAGGTATAAAAAGCACTTTTTACTTAGGTTAGTGCCAGAATTTTTAAAAATTAAAGAGGGGAGGCTTCTACATTGGAGGGGGAAAAAAGAAAAAAAAAATCTATTAAGTTCTACAAGGGGAAATAAAGCAATGTCATATGTCTTAAATACCACAGCATGTTGATCTGTCAGTCTTTCTTTGCCTCTCTTTGTTAGTCTGGTTTCCTATAGAAACAAGATTTATGTAACTGATGTTGTCTCTGTGTGTGTATCTATCATGATCCCAGTTGCTTCTGAACCCTTTGACTGAGTCTAACCCAATTTGGTAGAGACTGAAGTCTCAAAATGAAGTGTTTTAAGGATTTGGGGAAATAAATTGCAAAGGGAAGGAGAGAGATAGTGTGAGTACTCCAACCGTGGAAAAGGCTGTAGTGGGAGTCAAGTGGGGAAGATGCGGTAACCGAGCAGTTTCAATTAACTTCTACATGTGAACCCTCCCTTTGTATAGCGTATCAGCTACTTGCAATCTAAGTTCAGATCACTTTCGGTTAAAGGGTCTCTGTTTGTCCCAGCTTTCAGAGGTGAAAATCAGAGCTCATTCCTGTGATCAGGTGACAAAGATAGTTCAAGAGCAGCAGAGGCAGCCATATGTATTGCTATTTTTTCTAGTTCAGATCATACCAAGCAGCTCCTTTTTGTGCTTGATATTTACACTGATACTGCTCAATCTATCTAGCCTTTCATTTTAGTTACTTGTATTGCTCTAAATGTTTTGTCAGCTCTTTCTAAACCTTAGTTGGTTGTATTTTGTCTATCTTCCTGGTCTGTCTGCTTCTCTCTCTGGCATTAATGCCTTAGTTTCTTAGTTTCGGGGTGTTTACTGTGTAATATTATAGGCCATCTTTCTTCTGTTTCCCAAGTCTGGCAGCACCTTTCTCTAAGTAGTACAAACCTGTATTTTATTGTGCATGAGGTAAATCGTAGTCCTTTATTCTCCTAGATATAGTTAGGTTCCACTCCTCCCCATCACCCTTTAGTTTGTAAGGAAAGATGAAAAGTATGCAAAGCAGGTGATTGTGGCAGACAGAATTATTCTAATTAGAGCAGGGAGATGTAATAATTTCTTCTGGTTTTGTTTTCACTAGTTTCTGCACACCATAGAACAGTGAGGGAAGAATATGGAGACAAAGTAAAAATGA